GTGACGCTTGTGTGGGGACTCGCTGGAGGAGGACTGGGAGCGAGAAAAAAGAGAGGATTCCCACTTTTGGCACTTTAGGCGAGCGTGGCGGGCCAGCGTCTTTTTCTCACGGGCGCGGCAGCTTTTTCGCAGGCACAAAGTGAAATTTCAAAGCCCGTCTCGACCAATCAGATACTGTCTAAGTCACGTGCTCTCGCTAAGGTCCAGGTCAAGCCCCTCTACTGGCCCACTCGAGTCGCCGCCCCAGCGGCCTGGCAGTTTATCCCGTGCGTTGCGACAGAACGCCTTTTTAATTTTCTCATTCCCATCCAACCCAACCCATCTGAGGATCTGCTTAGGAAGGCAATAGACATATTGTCGAGGTACGTCTGAAGATGCTTCTGCTCCCTCTTTGTTAGGCCGATGTGCCTGTCACCCTCTCTCCCGTTTCCGGCATTTTGTTTCTGCACTCATGTAGCCCTCGACCACCGCACGGCGCAATCGCGAAATCGAGAGCGCCTTGAGGGTTCCGGTCGAGGCGCATCAGATTTTGTCAATATCCAGCGTGTGTGCGTGTGCAGGCGAGTGGCGGCGTTGTAAAATTCGTCGCCCTCGCTCAACCGTCACCGCCGACATCCTCTCCCCCTTCCAAATATGCCGGGACGGGAAGAGGGAACATTGAGGGGTCCAGACAGCATTCTTGCTATCTACCCTACTCTTCTGGAGCCGTTTCTAACCTTTTGACAAGTAGGCAATCATGCAGATCTTCGTCAAGACCCTCACGGGTAAGACTATCACCCTTGAGGTGGAGTCTTCCGACACCATCGACAATGTCAAGTCCAAGATCCAGGACAAGGAGGGCATCCCCCCCGACCAGCAGCGCCTGATCTTCGCTGGAAAGCAGCTCGAGGACGGCCGCACCCTCTCCGACTACAACATCCAGAAGGAGTCCACCCTTCACTTGGTCCTGCGCCTGCGTGGTGGTATGGCCAAGAAGCGCAAGAAGAAGGTCTACACCACCCCCAAGAAGATCAAGCACAAGCGCAAGAAGACCAAGTTGGCCGTCCTCAAGTACTACAAGGTCGACTCTGACGGCAAGATCGAGCGTCTCCGCCGCGAGTGCCCCTCCGACACCGTACGTTTCTCCCCCCTCGTTGTCATCGAATTGCCAGATACTAACCTGACCTCCAGTGCGGTGCCGGTGTTTTCATGGCCGCCATGAACGACCGCCAGTACTGCGGCCGCTGCCACCTCACCTACGTCTTCGACAAGAAGGAATAAACTTATCCAAAGGATTCGCGGGTGCGATGGGACGGAACAAAAAATGACACTTTTGGGGGGATCGGTTCAGGGTTAGCATTCTAGTCGGCAGGAAGCCGCAACAAAAGGGGCGTTGATGTAGCAAATACCGCATCACTGGCTGGCAATGACGAAGCAAATTTTACGACACTTGATTCTCCTACATCTGATTCCCAACTGCACCGTGATTCCTGCATCGTAATGGAGGCTTTTTGATTTCTAGTCTACCAACCATCATAGTCACTGACCCTCAAACCCGTTTCGCAGATTATCGTACTTTGTCTCGGGGTACGTGATGCAGTTGTCACCCCTCATCAACGCATGCGGCCCTCCGAGCGTGTGGACGACGTTCCCGATGAGAGACTCCGGTCCCGGCTTGTCAGCACTGCTCTCCCACCACATGGCCCCTCCAAGACCCCATCCCCTAATGTACTCTGCCTTCTTTCGCGCCATGTGCACCGTGTCGTATGACACCATCTTCCTCTGCCCAGCGTCGTACGAGTAACTCGCCCCCGACTCCTCATCATGGTACTCCTGCGACCCCGGCAGCGGCAGCGCCTTGTAGTCGAACACGCCGTTCTCCCAGCTCCCCTCGCCGACCCCTGAGAACGGCGTGCCGGGCCCGTCCGTGTTCTCAAAGGCGCGACCGTAGAGCGGCATGCCAGCACGATCTTGTCGGGCGCCACGCCGTGGGAGGTGTAGTGCGCCAGCGCGGCGGCGGTACTGAAGGGCGTCGAGTTCGGGTTCCTCTGGCACGGCTGTAGGTTTGCCTGATGGCCGGCGAGGCTGTCCCACGAGCCGGCGTAGTCGTAGGCCATTAGGTTCCAGAAGTCGAGCAGGGCGTCCATGGCGGGCAGGTTGAGCTTCTGGTAGTTCTGCGCGCCGGCGGGGCAGGCGACGGTGAGCTCGAAGTGGTACCACTCCGGCAGGGTCGAGGCGTACTGGTCCATGGCGGAGCGGACGGCCTGCAGGAGGGCGACGAAGTCGGAGGCTTCTTCGGGTGTTTGGGGGTACTCCCAGTCGATGTCGATGCTGGTTCTGTTAGTATCCTATCGCAAGAGGAGCAGGTGACATGATTGGAGGCCAACGTACCCATCAAAGCCGAGGTTCTTGATGAGGTCAACACAGCTGCGCGCAAAGGTTTCGCGACCCTGGGGCGTGCTCGCGGGGCCCTTGAAGTTGGACGAGTAGGTCCAGCCGCCGACCGACAACAGGATCTTGAGGTTGCGGTTACGGCGCTTGAGGAGGTTGAGCTGCTTCATGCAGCCGTAGAGGTTCGTGCCGGAGTCATTCCAGCTGTCGCCCTCCCAGTGGATGTCGGTGTCGGCCCAGCCATCCGTGAGGTGGACCTCGCCAGAGTCGGCGCGGACGTTGGCGAAGGCGTATAGGATGTGTGTGAGGTTTTCGACGGGCAGGTCCTGGGGACGATGCTTGCGGGCGTAGATTGCCCTGCAGACGATGTTTGTTAGCTGGGTCGTTTTGACCGGGGCTTCGAACATGGCAGAGCTGTGACGTACCAATTGACAAAGTAGGCCACCGACCGGAAGCCTTGACCTGGACCGCCACCCATGGTGTCTGTATCTGTGAAGTTGGACTTGAAGAAAGGGATTGGCAGACGTGTGAAGAGGTTCGTGTAGGTGCGCGCCAGGAAAACTGTGGTCAAGAGGACTACTACAGATGTGACGATGGTCGTCGTGCGTGGGAGATGCATACGGGTGAGTTCCGCAATGCCAAGAGGTCACAACGAGGGAGAGATGCAGAATGAGAGAGCAACGCAGGCCAGCTGGAGGAAGGATGACGGCTCTTATTGCCAACGAGGAAGCCGAGGTGTGTGCAGTTTTGTTTTGCTCAAGTTCAGTCGATGTAAGGTAATGCAAAGCAGGCTAAGGCGGTAATACAGCTCCAGGAACTTGGAAAATGGATAGCCCTGCGGTGGACGAATGGACAGCCGCAAACAATTACATGCGAGGTACAACACTGCCCCTCCCCCTCTCTTTCTCTGTGAGCAGTGCCGCTGTATGGATCTGCGCGTCTCGAACGCTGGGATGCGCCGCATGGCTGCGTGCTGTTACTGGAGCTTGGAGCTCGATGAGGCGCGAGTTGTCGTCAGCCCCGGGGCGATTTACCTACCTACAGTTGTCCCGCCGCGGCTGGTGCTGGGTGGGCGGATGGCACAGCTGGAACTGGCCTGGCAAGCAGGGTTACGCGTGGCGCGGGCGGGTGATCGGCAGCGGACGAAAAAGGTACCAAGCCGGCGCAATTGCAATGCAGAGATACTTGCGAGGGTAGGTTGGCTACCTCCCGTCTCCCCTGTCTCCCCGTCTTTGAGTGGCTTGTGCTTAGGTAAGGCTGGCAAGGTCAAGACGATACTTAGGTACTTACTCGCATTCGGTACGGTGTCGTTTTTGCAAGCGAGTAGCCTTACGTAAGGAAAGCACATGGCAACCACGTACCTCTGGATTATTGCATGTGGAGGCACATGTCTGGCCGTTGAGCACCGGCACTTCCGCGTTCTGAGGTGGGCTGGGGTGGGCTGGGGTTTGCGGCCAACGGGACTTCGGGGACGGTGACAGACCGCCTGCAGCGTCATGGGACGGACCCAAGTGCGGTGACATGGGATGGAAAAAATGTTGAGAGTCCGAGCAGACTCTGATCATGGACCCCGATTTGTTTAGGGGTCTTGCAATGGTTTGAATGGCAATTAACCAGCAGGACACCATGAAGACGCCAACCATGGCTCCAATTGAGGTCCTCCGTCTTTGGGGCCTCGCTTCATGGTTACACAGTAGAGGCACGATCGAGCGATCGAGTCAAAGGGTCGATTGTCGTGCAGTAAGGTAGGTTCAGGGCTACCTTATGCCATGCCGCGACAGTGGGTCGGGGAGTCGTTTCCAGCGAGTCTCCGATGGCTCTCTCCTAAACTTCCTAAACACGTCCCACAACGGCAGAGTTGCAAGCATGGAAATGTTGCATCAATGAGAGGCCTAGGCCTGCGGCAAAAAAAAGAAAGAAAAAAGGAAAGGAAAAAAAAGGGCTGTCGGTTAGCGAGTGTGCTTATTCTCAGAGAAGATCGTCCTCTAATCAGAAAAAAATCTGCCTTCCCCAGCAACTGGTTGTTGGCGGCGGCCCTCCCGTCGCACAGGAGCCCCCCATAAAGGCACAATTTAATCGCTGCCCACTCTGGACAAGCCCGAAAGATCCCTACAGGGCGGGGCAGCCCAAAAACACAGAAAACGGCAAAGTCCAACGCCAGCACGAGGTCACCCGCGTATTGTCCGTCGACGCGATTCGCCCGCTCGTCTCACTGTCACTCCTCGCTACGGGTGCGAATCGCGGCCCCCATGTTTGGCTTGGAAATTGATCACTGATACTACCCACTCTAATTCCCGCCCTCGACGCTGGTGTTCAAGCCACCGGGGGGGGGAAATTGGTTCACAAGAAAAAACCCCCGACGACCGCCTCTTTAAACTACTCCTCCTAAAGATCCAAACGCCCGTCGGTTTTTCTCTCCTTTCCTTTCCTTTTCCCACCCCATGCTCGACAGGTCTTGACCGACTCTTGTCCGTGTCTGTGTTCCATATCAATCCCATCGCGATAGACGCACGCGACCATCGTCTTCCGCTTCGTTGCCTCCCAACAACATCCTCACGCAACCCCCCTTTTTTTCTTGTCGGGCCTCATCAACAAGGCATTTCGTGCCTGCCGCCGCATCCGCCGCATCAATGACCGCCCCCGAGTCCCCCATGGCTCAGTCCTCCGCTGTCCCGGCCTCTACTGGCAAGGACCAGATCGCGACACGCCGACGCAGAAAGTCGAGCGTGCGAGGCCACGGTCACACCCACGATCCCTCGTCGCGTCAGTCCTCCAAGCAGGACCAGCTCGACATGCTCTCCAAGCGCAGCCGCGCTCGTGTCATCCTCCGCCGCTGCAAGCACATCGCCGTCAAGCACACCTGGACCACCCCGCTAGTCCTCATCCTCGCCTTCCTCTCCCTCTACGCCGTCAACCCGACCGAGTCCAACGTCATCCACCACTTCATCTTCCTTTCCTACAAGATCCCCCAGCAGGGTCTTGATGCCGCCGCCGGCGCTGCCGCTGACAGCGATGCGCCCGCGCAGTACGGCAAGGGGCTTTGGGACATTGCCTTCGTCTGCTTCTATGCCACTGTCCTGTCCTTCACGCGCGAGTTTATCATGCTGGAACTCCTCCGCCCGCTGGCCAAGTTCTACGGCATCCGCTCCCGCGGCAAGCAGCTTCGCTTCATGGAGCAGGCCTACACGGCCATCTACTTTGGCATCCTCGGCCCCTTTGGCATTTACGTCATGAGCCGCACCCCCGTGTGGTACTTCAACACCACGGGCATGTACGAGTCGTTCCCGCACAAGACCCACGAGGCCGTCGTCAAGTTCTACTACTTGTTCGAGGCCGCCTACTGGGCGCAGCAGGCGCTGGTCATGCTCCTCGGTCTCGAGAAGCCTCGTAAGGACTACTACGAGCTCGTCGCGCACCACATTGTGACCCTGTCGCTCATTGGCCTGAGCTACCGCTTTCACTTCACCTACATGGGCATTGCCGTCTACCTGACCCACGATATCAGTGACTTCTTCATGGCTGTAAGTTAGCCGAACGACACGCATTTCTACCGAGACTGAGGCTAATTCCCCTTCAACAGATGTCCAAATCCCTCAACTACGTCGACAACCCCATCACCGGGCCGTGGTACTGCGTTTCCCTAGCCTCCTGGATCTACCTCCGCCACGTCATCAACCTTAAGATCCTTTGGTCCATCCTCACCGAGTTCTCCACTGTCGGCCCCTACGAGCTGAACTGGGAGACGGAGCAGTACAAGTGCTGGATCGCTAAGGTCATCACCTTCACTCTTCTCGGCCTCCTGCAGTCCCTCAACCTCTTCTGGCTGTTTTTCCTTGTCCGCATCGGGTACCGCTTCGTCTTCCACGACGTCAAGCAGGATGACCGCTCCGAGGCGGAGGAGTCCGAGGCGGAGCCCATGGAGACAATCGACCAGGTGTCCAAGGTTGACGCTGCGCCGATTGTGAGCGGGGAGGCCGCGAAGACCGCGCAGGCCGTTGCGAACGGCGTTACCAAGGCGGCTGGCGGCAGTGTTGCATCACGGACCCGGAGCCGACGCGCCGCGTAAAAAGGTGGTTGAGAAATTGCCAATAGTCCAACCTATTTGTTTACTAGCCCGGCCTGGCCTTGGGCTCGTTGGCGTCGGACATTGTATATGTAGTATATCTAATAATGCCTAATGTGTAATGACCATGAACACGCTGAAGACTGATCTGGCTTCCTTTCACGTGAAACTCTCATCGTGCGACTGTGCGCCGTTGTGCAATTGACCATGAGGCCGGCCTTGAGATCATGATGTCATTGGACGTTAGGTTTCTGAGCGGCTGGGTCTATCCGCCAGATGCCGGGAGCGACGGGACAAAGAATGCCGCGTCCGGTTTAACGACCTGTTCAAATCGTCGGAGGTTCCGGGGGCATGCGGCCTACCACAGTGTCAAATGATTCGGTCTGTTGCATGACAGGATCCGCGGTCGCCGACCTTGCCGACGTAGTTTGTTTTAATAGGTCGGAGCCCAATGGTTGTGTTGTACTCGCAGCGATGCCAAAATCTTACCATAAGCTGGTGGCTTTGAGTGTCATATTGAGGCCCAGCGAGTAAGAAATCGACGATTATTGATATCTTCGGATGGATTAATGTACAATCCTGGGCCCATGGGGTGAGTGCCTTGGGGCGTGAAGCGAACTTGTCATGAAAAGTGAGCTGCGGTGGTTCATTCTAAAAGAAACGTTTAAAGAATCTTGAAAATCATAATGTCACCACAACAAATTCTGGTATACCAAGAATTAAATTTATCGGGTTCTATTGTATCAAATATTTATTCAAAACAGTTTTACCCATTCAATGGCCTTCATGCTTGAGTTGTAGCAAGATTTGCTTACTTACACGCTCAGTGAGGACCGGCCTGGGCGCAGTCAACGCCGACGTCCCCAGGCCAGCGACAACGAACGACCCTCTAGATCGAAACATCATACGCTCATGACAGTCTAAAATGTTCTCAACCGTGTCTACTGCCGGGTGTCGCAGTAGGGAGATCTCGAGGCATCAATAGCTTGTATCCGCTGCCGCATACAGCTGGGCTGAGCCTAGTTGCAAAGAAGACCATCAGCCACTCGGCGCGCCACACGCCCCCGTCTGCCCCACCATCGGCAGCCGGCCTCGCTCCAGGCCGAGTCCCACTCACGTGACCCTTCCACCTCCCACACACAGCCAGAGCGAGGAGGAGCTGGCCCGAGCGTCAGCTTTTGGAGCTCCAGAAAAATTTCCAATTGACACCAGTGGGGGGAGAGGAAAAATTGAAGAAAAAAAATCCGAACACTCGAACTTTTGACATTTTTTCGCTCTGCCGTCTCGAGACACCCTCGAAACCCCCCCAGCCCACCAAAACCACCCGCGCGAGGCTTGATTGTCGGAACAGACCCCTTCTCCCCAGTCCGAGACAAGAAGCCGACTTTCAAAATGGCCGCGATCAACTACCTCCTCTACGAGGCCCCCATGGGCTACGGTGTGTTCCACATCGAGCACCAGCCCGACAGCATTGGCCTGCGCCAGAAGGAGGCTCAGGAGTCCATTGCTGACCTCGCCCGCTTCGGCAAGATGGTGAAGCTCGTCAACTTCACCCCCTTTGAGTAGGCCTACCCGTTCCGCGAATGATTGTGCCGGTGGTGGCCGTGATGGTGGCAGGTGCGCGACGGCTTCCCAAAAGCGCGTCTGGAGGATTGAATGAGGAGGGGGGGAACTGGTGGAGAAGATGGCATGCAAGATGGGAAGAAGCACAAAGGCTAACATACACTCTCTCATAGTACCGGAAAGCAGGCTCTGGATGAGATCAACCACATCTCCGAGGGTCTCATGTCGGACCACCTCAAGTCGGTCCTCGAGCTCAACCTCCCCCAGACGAGCGGCAAGAAGAGCAAAATCACCGTCGCCGTGGCCGAGAAGAACCTGGCCTCCGTGATCAAGTCCACCTTCCCCGGCGTTGACTGCGAAACCTCAGAGACCTCCGAGGTCGCCGGCGACCTCCTCCGCGGCGTCCGCCTGCACGCCGACCGCCTCCTCAAGGGCCTGCAGACGGGCGACTCGACCGCCGCCGGTCTGGGTTTGGGCCACTCCTACTCCCGTGCCAAGGTGAAGTTCAGCACCACCAAGAACGACAACCACGTCATCCAGGCCAGTGCCACCGTCGAGTTCCAGGACAAGGGCGTCAACCAGTTCTTCATGCGCGTCCGCGAGTGGTACGGCTGGCACTTCCCCGAGCTTGTCAAGATTGTCTCGGACAACCTGACCTACGCCAAGCTGGTGCTCGCCATTGGCGACAAGGCCACCCTCACCGACGACCGCCTCCACGACATTGCCGCCATCGTCGAGGAGGACGGCGAGAAGGCCCAGGCTATCATCGACGCTGCCAAGGTGTCCATGGGCCTGACCATCATGCCCGCCGACCTTGAGATCGTCAAGGGCTTCGCCGAGGCCGTCGTCGCGCAGGCCGAGGCCCGTCGCTCCACCGCCAACTACCTCGACAAGAAGATGTCTATTGTTGCGCCCAACCTGCAGACCCTCATCGGCACCCCCGTCGCCGCCAAGCTCATCTCCCACGCCGGCTCCCTGACCAACCTGTCAAAGTACCCGGCCTCGACGCTGCAGATTCTGGGCGCCGAGAAGGCTCTCTTCCGCGCCCTCAAGACCAAGAGCAACACCCCTAAGTACGGTCTCATCTACCACTCCAGCTTCATCGGCAAGGCCGCCGTCAAGAACAAGGGTCGTATCTCCCGCTACCTGGCCAACAAGTGCTCCATCGCCTCCCGCATCGACAACTACACCGAGAACCCCACCACCAAGTTCGGTGAGGCCCTGCGCCAGCAGGTCGAGGACCGTCTCGAGTTCTACGCCACTGGCAAGAAGCCCGCTAAGAACGCCGACGTCATGGTATGTCTTTTGTGTCCCCTGTTTACTTTGTGTGCTACGGACGAAACAAAACTAACAAACTTTCCAAGGCCTCCGTTCTGGAGCAGGTCGAGGGCGACATCACGCTCGACGACGCCGAGATGGTCGACGCCGTCGCTCCCGAGGTCAAGAAGGAGAAGAAGGAAAAGTCCAAGGACAAGAAGGAGAAGAAGGACAAGAAGGACAAGGAGAAGAAGCGCAAGCGCGATTCCGAGGTCGGCGCCGCCGAGCCCGAAAAGGCCGACGGGGAAAAGAAGAAGAAGAAGAAGAAGTCCAAGGACGAGTAAACGGAGGGCCCTCCCCAACACCGCCCTTCGCTCTTGTCTGACCAAGGCTTCTGTTCCAAAATCTTCCCATTTTTCCATGTCTACTGCGTAGGTCGGCGGCACACGGCGGGTCTCTGGCATCGGGCTCCCTCTTGTCTGTTCTAGGATGTCTTGTCTTTTTTTTCCCATCTTTTTTTTCTTCTTCGTTTTCTTGCTGTCTGGGAGTTTTTATGGGGAAATGAAACCGGGCTTATCGGAGTTTGGGCTGCAAAAATGTTAATGCATCATCATATCCCATGTGTGTATGTACAAGTTGAAGAACAACCACCCATACCCAAACCTGCGTTTGTGTCCCCTTTATCCTCGCGTGGTCGAGTGATTGTGCAGTATGTCTTTGCGCGGTAGTATGGTAGAGCCGGTGGTAGGGGCTGATGTCGACAAGGCGAGCAGCATGTGTTGTGATTCTTATCGGAACAGTGTCTCTGCTTCATATAATTTGACCATGGGATGAGTGGCCGCTTTTGAGATGGTTTGAGTTACATGTTAGCGTTCATAACGTTCCGCTCCAAGGTAAAAAGAAACCAAAAAAAACCCCTGCCTATTCAGACGATTCCCTCCTGTGGACGTTCCTAGATTCCTCTCTCAAGCAGGAAAAAGAAGCCACTCCACGGTTGTTGCAACTTTTTGTATTATACGCTTTACTGAAAGTAGAAAATAAACGAGGTTGCAATGCAGTAGAATAGTAAAACGAACATGAGGAACAAAACGACGTGATATTTCCCCACCCAATGCCGGCCGTTTCAAACGCCAGAGGACGCCGCCAACTCTCTCTCGGACACACAACCTTATTTGATCGTCCCAAATAGTCTCGTTTCTTTCCACTCTCTCTCGTCGCAACAAACCGAGAATCAAAGATTTAGGTTAAAAACACACCCATCCTTTCCACACAACTTTCCCAGTGCCTCATCATCTGCCGTCGTCTGTTCTTGCTTGCCTTGTCTCGTGCCTGTTGGACACGTGGTCTCGTCTCCAGAACTCGTAACACTGTGCTGTTCAACGCAGGCTTCGGTAGTTCAGCTCATGCGCCCTCGCTACCAAATTCGTTTGTCCACTCTATTTGCTTCGCCGCGTCGTCCTCGGATACGGTGGGATGCGAGTCCCTGAGGGCCTGCTTGAAGTCCTTGAGCTCGAGGGTGGGCGCCATGAGCTCCTCCGAGTCGACATCGTGGTACGTCATCTCCTTGGCGTCCGGATCGCCAGGCGAGCAAGGTGTCAGTTTCTTGACGCCGTCGTGCATGACCTAGAGTGAGTCAGTAAGAAATTTCATGTTACGCAGAAGCGAACCCGTCATGAAGGGGAAAAGGAGCCATTGGCGGGTCACGTACTGGCTTGAAGTGTGTGGCCTGGATAATCTTGCGCACGGGGCCCATCAATGCTTGCTGCACCACGTTGGAGATATCACTACCAGAGAATCCCTCCGACATCTCGGCCAGGACCCGGTAATCGTCCTGCTGCAGGTTTGTTTCCGTGTCCCCGATGGCGAGCTTAAACATGCGCGCGCGGCCATTGACGTCGGGCAGACCAATGTGTACGCGGCGCTGGAAACGTCTGCGGATGGCGGCATCGAGCTGCCAGGGGATGTTCGTCGCGCCGAGGACCAAAATGCCCTTGCTGTCGTTTCCGACACCGTCCATCTGCACCAGAAGCTCCGTCTTGATACGTCTCGAGGCCTCGGACTCGCCTTCGCCGCGAGGGCCGCAGAGGGCGTCGATCTCGTCGATGAAGAGAACCGAGGGCTTGTTTTCTCTCGCCATGCTGAAAAGCGCCTTGACGAGCCTATTATCGTAAAATCAGCATACTGTCATATCTTGTGTCCACGATTGACTGACCTTTCACTCTCTCCCATCCACTTGCTCACCAGGTCGGAACTGCTGACACTGAAGAACGTGCTGTTCGCCTCCGTCGCGACCGCCTTGGCCAGATAACTCTTACCCGTTCCTGGGGGCCGTACAGCAGGATACCCTTCCACGCCTGGCGCTTGCCCTGGAAAAGCGACGGAAACTTGATGGGCAACACGACGGCCTCCTTCAGCGTATCCTTGGCACCTTCAAGACCGGCGACGTCGTCCCACCGCACGTTGGGCCGCTCCTGCAGGATGGCGCCGCTGAGAGCGTTGCGCAGCTTCTTGTTGTCCTCGTCAACGTCGTCGTTCGCCTTGCCCTTGCCGCCGCCATTGACGCTCATGGCGCCGGGTTTGTTTCCGCCGCCGCCGCCCCCTCCGCCGCTCTTTTTGGCCTCGGCCTCGTTTAGATACGTCTTTAGCTTCTCGGCGCGGTCCATATACTCGGCCGTCTTCTGGCGGATGAGCTCCTTGGACTTGGAGTTCTTCTCCCACTTGACAGCCAGGACGAAGAGCTCGAGCGACTTTGTGTATAGTTGAAAGGCCTTTTCGTATTCGGCGGCGTTATCGGCGTCGATGGCCTGCTTGACCGTGCTGATGGCACGGCCGAGGAAGTCGGTGATTCCCGACATCGTGGCTGTGTTTTTTCTGGGGTTGTAGTCTCGTTCTAGCTGGTTTTCCGGCGAGGAGGAGAAGGGAGTTCGTGATAAGATGCAAAGAGCGGGGAAAGCTCGCTTCCGCTGTCGTCGTTTGCTCGTTGTCGTCGGCGGTCGGGTAATTCGTTTCGGAACGAACGTTGGAAGACAGAATAGACAACGAGATCCCGAGGATGGCGTCGTTTGTTGGCGCAGACGGTTGAGAGGTTGGGAAGTTGGACGGGTTGGGGGCCTTGAAGAGGCGGTTGCGGGCGTGGATTCTGTGACGTTGCCTGGGCAGTTCGTGATGGACACTGCGCCAATCGAGGTGCCTTGAAGTGGTGGGGGTGGGGGACTTGTGATGCTTATTAGGATATGCCTTACTAAGTGCAATCAGGGTGCTTATGCATTATTAGCAAATACCAAAAAGCTGGAATCTGATGGGTGGTGCGATATTTGCGCTCACCTTTGCTAACTGTCAGTATGAATTTATAATATTCAAAAGCAAATTTGACATACATGAATGAAACATACAGAATATTGAAGAACCTTTCGCTTCAAAATGTCCCCTCCACTGGTTCTAGATTCGCTTTTCCCGATACCTGCTTATCCGCAAAGTGGGTGGTTTCAATTCATTTAAACAGTATTCCGACAGTCTGTCACCACCGCAGCAATGAACGCTGAGTCGATGTACCAAGTATCCTCCTCCAGATCACCACCTCTCCAAAAGTCGAAACAAACGATTAATCCCAAAGAACCTTGACATCTGGGAACGCCTGACTCATAGCAACGTCTCAGATCTCAATCGCTGAGCCGGACTTCAGGATTCTTACCGCCGTTTACTCAGCTAGGACTTCGAATTCTGGGTTTTCTCACTTCGGATTCTTACTGAACCCTTCATACTCACTCTACCATGGCCGAGATCCAGGCCAAGCTGCAAAAGCTTTCGGAGGAATACACTGCGTTGCAACAAGGTACTTTGGACCACCTGCATTACACTCACTCAAACCGTCACTGACACATCGACAGAACTCCAGAACACCGTCCAGTCGCGGCAAAAACTCGAGGCACAAAAGCAGGAGAACCTTGGCGTGAAAGAAGTGAGTTCTAGATCAGCAGTCTAATATCCAGACAACTAATGAGCTGTAAGGAATTCGATAAGCTCAAGGATGGCGAGCAGATCTACAAACTCGTCGGCCCTGTGTTGCTGAAGCAGGACAAGATAGAGGCCGAGAGCACGGTAAAGGGCCGTCTGGACTTCATCACCAAGGAGATGTGAGTGCATATCTCCTCGCTCTCTTCTATCGGTTATTGGAGTACTAATTCGTCAACAGTGAGAGACATGAGGACCAGATCAAGGACGTTCAGGGCAAGCTTGAGAAGAAGAAGGGCGACATCATCCAGCTTCAGACCAGCGCGCAGGCTGCGGCGGGTCAGGCGAAGCAGGCATGATCACAGCGACAGTCACGACAATGGGGGAAAGCAAAACAAAATGAGATCTGGCCAGAGTGGTGTTACAATAACGAAACTACTAGGACTATGAGTTATACCCAGCAATGCTCCGATATTCCTTCCAAAAACGCCATGCTAATGCGCCAATTTCCCGATGGTGAATGCCCTCACCACATCGAATTACCCAGTTTCATCGCAAAGCCCGGTCATAATACGTGCCCGATCCCAACCCCCCCCCTTCAGTTCAGAGCCATGATGGAGAATCCCCACGGCAAGCCCATGTTGCGCGCAGGCAGCTCTGTCGCCCAACCGATGGCGTTCTGGTATTCGTCCTCGGATGTGAACTCGGCGTCGTTCACCTTGCCCTCGACGACGCTCATGATGAGGTCGGCGATCTGGCTCTTGGTGTAGCAGCGGCCGAAGAGGCGGCTCTCCTCGATATTGCGGATCATGGCGGAGCGCAGCTCGCACTCGGCGAAGTGGTGAACCTCACGGTCGAAACTGACCTGCGTGACGGGGCCAAGATGGTGCGAGGCGAGCTTCTGGAAGAAGGCAACCATGCCGGCGATGGCTTGAGCGAGCATGTGAGCCTTGGTGGTATCGTCGAGGTGGTTGGCCATGGAGGACGAGTTCTGCTCGATCAGGCCGTGCTCGTCGTGGTCAAAGGTCGCATGGACAACCTTGGAGATGCTGTCTGAAGTGGTGAGGATGCCTTCGGGGTCTTGGATGTTGAAGCTCTGGGCAATCTCATTGTAGCATTGGGAGAGGGTTGTCCAGAGGGAGACGGTGTTCTGGACGGATGCCTTGCCCATGCTGACTGTGAAGTGTGACATGGTGCTGTCAATGCTTTCTATCCGGCGGTCAGTTGTTGAATGGTTGTGCCTCGAAATGACAAACTCACTTTTGCAAACGGCGGAAGACATGGTGATGATGTGAGAGCTTGGAGTGCTTGGTGGTATGCTTGTTGATGTTGATTAGACACCAGGAATCTCAATGGAATTGACACAGATTGTACGTTGAGTATAAATTGATGACAGCGTGAGTATAGGGACATCGACATCAACAGCAGCGGAAAAGCTTTCCTTTAACCTCAATGGGATTGTAGCCTTGTGGCCTCATCGGGGGATTCTTCCAGGATGGCCCAGCCATGCGGGACGCGATGTTGACCATCCCTGAATCTGCCATGCCCAGACGAACACATGGCAAGGTCCTCAGAATAATCCCCGTAACTAGTTTGTACTCCGTACCCGGTACCCATGTCTTCGTGGGAGATGCCCGGCGGTAGTCCCGTCCGCCCGTTGTCACTACACAGGAGAAAGCTGGAATAGGTTCACTTGAAGCACGAGGTAGTATCGCACCTCCACATTCCCACAAAAATATTAAGCCACCTCGCCGTCAGATTTTGCAGGCATGGCAAGATGTGAAGGCTGATGACCTGACGATCCGGCACCGCCACGCCATCAGCTTGAGACACGGGCTGGTTGGAAAAAACACGACAATTCTCCAGACCGCCCTGAGATAATAGGGTCTAAATTGGTGTTCCGCTCGCCGGCAACCAGCGGAAGCGTGGGGGCCCAACACGCAGTGTGCGACTCAACTGGGAGCAAGAAGAGCATGCACGTCAGGAAACATCTGATCCGGTTCAAGCAGGCGGTGGAAGCACCCAAGCATGATGCCATGTCGAGACTCGAGCCGCAAGAGGATCAGTGCGATGAAACCAGGAACGGAGGTTGGACGGACGGACTCCCCGGTCCGTCTAGGCGCCTGCGGTTGCTTGGTTGCTTTGGGATTGCTGCTGGCAGTGGTTGGGAGCATCATTTGCGAAAATTACACTGGTCCCGACATTTCCCGACGTTTGAGTGAGGCGAGCACATCCCCTGGAGACGTCGTCCGGGAAAACGAGATGGGCCTCTCGTAGATCGAACGGAAATACGGGCGAGGTGACGTTTTGCTCTAGGCGCCCCGATGAGGCGCCGACTGATGGATTGAAATTTTTCCGCCGTGGCAACGACAATTAGATGCTACCTAAGTATAGAGTAAGGAAGTCTTCATGCCCATTGATCCTCTGTGACATTCCGAAAGTGGAGTCGATACATTGGCCCGGATCCTCCCGTCGGATGACAGCTCAGAGCCCAGACCTTCGTTCACCTTTGTTTACCTTGGAATGCTTGGGATGTTTTTGTCCAGCCGGTCTCGACTTCATCCCTCACCTTGATGACATAAGGAAAAGGCTTAGATAAGACTAAGCCAGACTGGTGTCACGTGCTCTTGCAGCAACGAGGTCCGAGCTCTGCGCCTGCCCCTCCATGTTTGCGGACCTTGTCGGTCTCCCGGTCGGTCCCCAGGTGCCATGGCGGGGTGCTTCAGCCACCCGTGGCTGGTCTAGCGCTTCGTCATACGGTCCCTGGGACGAAACCCGCAAGACGTCTTGACCGAATGAACGAGCATCTGCCACCTCAAGGCTGCCACTTTGGGCCTCCGGAACTTGGGAAACATGCGAACGTCAACCTAAACGGTGGACGTCACCAACTACGACCGTAACTGAGTCTTGAACCACCACGAACCGCCCATCAGAGAGCTTCCGACACGCCAGAACTCCCCCAAAGATGAATGGACCTCCAAGTCCGCGGCCTGCGCGGCCCATGAGTATCAAGGAGATCACCAACGCAGCGGAGGACTTCGAGTTTAGGACGACGATCCCTTTCAAGTATTGGGCGCGCTCCGCCGATACCTTGTTTCAAGAGGTTTGTGTGCAGTTCCTTTCTGATCCATTCGCGGCAACCGTTGACATGCGACCCAGGCCACGTTTGCGCTCCAAGATCGCGACATTCGAAAGGCGTACCAGATGCTATGGCGACACTCGATTCTCGTACTACAACACCTCAAAACACACCCCGACGCCAAACTTCCCGAGAATAAGGCTCTCACGAAGCCACTCTTCAACCGCCAGCAGAAGGAGGTGTTTGGGCTGTTGGAAGAGCTGAAGCCGCAAATTGACCGCGACTACAATGAGTGGAAGTTGATGAATGTGACCAAGAGAAAGGAAGATGACGAAGCCGTAAAGAGGCCCTCGAGCTATGACGAGTTCGCCGCCCGCGACCCCACCTTATCTGGCAATGCAAAGATCCTGGACGCCGCCGACAACCAGGAGCTAGCCGTGTCCCTGGCACAGCGGGACTTCAAACGACGAGATGCTGCGAGAAGAGCAACGCGACAGGCCGGTGTCACCGAAGAAGAGGAGCAAGAGCGTCGGAAGGGTGGCCGCTGGGAGGATTGGGAGCATTTTGGCAGCCCAACAACAGCAGCGACGGAGGACGACGAGATAAGGAAGCAGATCGAAGCAACGCGACGACGACTCGACGGCACAGACGGAGGACGAGATGACGGCAGTTTCAGACACTCGCAGGCGCCTAGCTACCAAAGTCCAGTACCGCCGCCGAGACCGCCGCCCAGCTACTCGTACAACTACCCGTCCATTTCAAGACCGAGAGCGCTGGAATGGGAGGCGACCCCGTTGGAACCGCAGCGCGCATACACACCACAGCCACCCCAGCCTCCGAAGCCACCGAAAGAGGAGGTCACGACACTACGGCAGGAACTTGATGCAGCGCCCCCGATGCGACCTGGCAAGGAACCTTTGCCTTCTTACGAGTCAATATCAACCGGCACGGCGCAACAGGACGTCCCCGAGTTGCCGGCCAAGGAAGAGGTTGTCGCGCCTTCGGCAAAGGAGCGTCTTACTTTCCGTCCTGCAGCCTACCTTGAGAATGGTGACCCCATCCGACCTGTGTTCCTCCCGACGCAGCTCAGGGACAGGTTCCTCAGCATCGCTTCGGACAACACCCGCAAGGGTCTGGAAATGTGCGGCATTCTCTGTGGCCGGCCCGTTAACAATGCGCTGTTCATTAGCTGCCTCCTTATTCCAGAGCAGAAGAGCACCCCTGATACTTGCGAGACCGAGAATGAGTCTTCGATGCTGGACTACTGCATCAACGAGGATCTTTTAATGGTCGGATGGATTCACACGCACCCCACGCAGACTTGCTTCATGAGTTCACGCGACCTTCACACCCAGGCCGGGTACCAGGTCATGATGCCGGAGAGTATTGCCATCGTTTGCTCTCCGCGGCACCAGCCCTCGTATGTAACGTGTATTGTTCGTCGAATGGATTCAGCTAACAGACGTGCAGATATGGAATCTTCCGCCTCACAAACCCTCCCGGACTTACTCACATTCTGCAGTGCACAAAGTCGGAAACGTTCCACCAACACTCCATCGACAATCTCTACACGAAGGCGCAGAACCCTCCCGGTCACGTCTACCACTCCGACAAGCTCGACTTTTATGTGAAGGATCTGCGGCCAAACCGGTAGTAGCTGGAAGAGGTACAACGGCGGCAGAGGCGCAGGTCGCGCTTGAAGACGGGATTGGCCGCCATGACTTATGGGCTATGCGCCAATGATGAGGTTGAACAGGACGAGGTTCATGAGGATCTGTAGCTCAAGAATGAGGATTGAGCCGTGATTTTGCTTGTTGCATGGCGAGGGCGTTCAACGGACGGATGCTGCAGGTTTGGGAGATGCTCGTTGATGAGTGTCTTACCTAGTACGGACGAATAAATGTCGGGGATCCGAGAAACTTTGCACGCAAGGAGGACCTTACGAAGGCACGGCTGAAAATCTATCTACGCACTCGTCGTGGTTCTTCGCCCTTTTCACGATTTCTTGTTCGTAATGTCGATTAGCCCCGAACAAAACGTCTTAATGACGAAAATAGTCGGCGGGTTCAACGAGGCTCGTTGGCCGCGGAGTCCCGCAGAGTTTCTCGCAAGGACGGACTCTTTGTATTCGAACAGGGCCAGAGCGTGTCCTGCGTTGTCCATCTCATGGTTGAGCTGTGAGCGCACGACACGCCGGGGGACCAAGGCCGATTGGTTCTAGCCCGCGTCCGCATGTGCGAAGCTAAGAGTTATGACGTCATTACTAGGAACCTATGGCTTTCCTTCTTGTATGTAAAGCTCATAAAGCTCCGTTCCTTATAAATAGCAATCGGCCTGGATCTCAAGCTGGAGTAAAGATATGATTTTGAGTATACACTATACTCGAGAAGACGAAAAAAAAACCCACTCCATATTCGGAACGGATTATACCTCCAGCCAAGGAAAGCACAGAGACTCCTCCAAAACCATGGCCTTCCCAACAAACATGCTGGGCATTCTCATTGCTATCGTCAGCGGCTACGCGCTCGTCCACTCGGCGGACTCAATCCCACGACTGCTCAAGTACGAGGACAAGGTCAAGAAGGCGGCAGAGTGGAGCAGGACGGCGGAGAAGCAGCTCTGGGAGGTTCGGTATACCGTGGCGACGGGCTTCATTGGCGTATGTCATTTTCTCTTCTGAGTTTCACAGCGAGGAGCATCTTGAGGCCGTGATCTTGAAGATGTCTTGAGACTTACTGACATTATACCAGTGCCTCCTCTCTGCCGTCAGCGGCATCGCCTTCTCGTTCTTCGTACCCAACGGCCTGGGTACCGTAGCCGTGGGCTGGCCCGCCCTGCTCGCTGCGGGTTTGACGTATGGACACCAGTACATGCGCAAGTTTTGGGCCTCGAAGCCCAAGGTGCCGATGATGACCGACTTCAATGAGGCCATCTCGGACACGATGATGGTGCAGGACATGATGAACCCGCTGGCGGGGGCATGGGGTCTTGTGGCGATTTGCAAGCTCGTTGGGCTGTAGATGGATCCAGTTCATGAGGACATGTTCAAAGTGGACAGAAAATTGGATGGGATACGTGGTACACTTACGAGCGAAAGCATTGATTAGCGCATGCTCACGCCCTCGCGTCTCTCCTCATATACACCCAAACATACTTCCCCCAGGAATCCTTACTCCCCGTGACGTGTTCATATTCCTCGCCCGGCTTCTTCCCCTCCGCAAAATCATCCAAATCCGCCTCCAGCCTACCCACCTCCTGGAAGCCCTGCCTCTCAAACGCAGCCTGTCCACCCATGGACGACTGCACCGAGCAATACACACCAGGCTCGGCGTCCGCCTTGTCAGTGCCCCACTTCATCAACCGCGATCCGACGCCCCGTGACTGGAAATCCGGGTGTACGACGTAGCTACACAGGGACCTGCACTTCGAACCCTTGGGCGTAAACCTTTTTACCCAATAATCCATCGACGCGTTCGTCAGATCCTCCAAGTCCTGGATCGTTCTCTTGCCTCTTGCAGCAAAATGAGTCTCAGCCGTCGGCTCCTCTGACGGGCCATCCAAGGGTAGATCCGTATCCCCCACAAACCCCCGGCGAATCCACCCCACCCATCCCACAAGCCTACCGCTTTTTTTGTCTTCAGCAACGACGACATCTACCTTTGGGTGGTCCACCCAAATCTCTAGCGCCTGTTTCATCCCCTCTGTGAAGTTGTCCGCGCCGCGGAAGGCAGCTTTGAGCTGCGTGTGCGCGTCCATCAGGAACGCGGCGTCGGCGATGGAGGCGAGGATGGCGACATCGTCCTGAGTAGCGAGGCGGAGGGCTACGTCGGCTTTTGCGGGCCGGACGACAGCTATCGGGGTTGTGTGGTCGGCGGAAGCGGAGGCCATGATGCGGAAGAGCTTGGCGATGGAAACCGGACGGTTGGTGCGGGATTGCGGAACGCGTGTGCGGGGTTTAACGTTGGGCTTGGCTCGGTGATGTGGTGGAGAAGCGGGAGGGGAGATAAGCCGGTGACAACGGAAGTGATACACACACCGCCTCAACTGCTATGGAAACCCCTGCTTCGCTTAGCGATACCTCTACGAAGAATCCCTTTCTTCTATCCAGTGTTAGAGTATGTCAAGATTAATCGTTTTCCAGTCCAGGTGGCTTCTAAATACCAGAAAAAGATGAATATTGAGGAAATCGTTGGTGCTGTTATACAGGCCGTGGGTTAGGGAGGTTGGCTATGTGTACCACTTTTTTATGTCACCAGCTTAGGAGGTTCGGTATGACTGACAGAGAGGGGAAGTTCGGTATGACTGACAGAGAGGGTAAGCTCGGTATGACTGGCGGAAAGGGGAGGTTCGGTATGACTGATAGACAGGGAGATGCTGGTCAACCGGGCCCCCTTATCAAAGGTTTTTGCGGGTGACAAATGCTGGGTACTGGAGAGGCCTGTCATTCCCGATATGGACGGACTGGCTGGGGATCGAATCCTTAGTAGCGTATCTCACCTTACCCACAACTTGTACGAGTCGATTTCAGTTGTGGTGTGCGCTGAGAAAATGACAATAGGATGATCGACGAATTTAACGCCTATACAGGTAAACCTTTCCCATTTATGATTTTCTATTGGCAAATGATGTAGCCTAGGGGTCCATGTTGCTTGTAGTCTAAGACGACCTACGGGTCTGTAGACGTCTAAACCCTGTGAGCGACTAGTTGACGAGATGCCTTCGTATCGACAGGCCAAAAGTCGACAAATCAGAAAATCCGCGCAAGTTATTTGGTGCATCAATTTAACAAAATGACGTTGCTTACCATGACGCCCAGTTTGACCTCACGACTCACCACAACCGTTCGTTTCAATTGTAGGCAAACCAGAAGGATGCTACCGTAGATGGCATGGCCAAACCAGAAGGATTTGATTGTAAGATCTCGATGACAACGATTTCGCAGTTATTGGAGCTAACGACTGATGCAAATCTCGGTCGGGTCTTATCCAGGAGAGTCCTGGCCAGGGAGATTGCGGTCGCTCGCATTGCCTCATCTGGCAGATTTATTCTCATATCGCCTCAAAATGAGCATTGATATCAAGATAGCGGCTATAAGAGAAACACGGAATGATTTCATCATGTTGCATGAGCGTCATCGCGTATTCGGACCCAGAAAACGTCAAATTCAGGGGCAATGACAAGGCTCAAGAGATCTTCAACCTGTGCACACACTCAGAAGGAGGGAGGCACATATACTGTTTGTGTTTGACATGTTTGATCTAGACCCCTACGAAACAAAATCTTGAGAGGTTTGAACTCACGTCACGTACCCCGTGAGAGTCGAGCACTGAGTCCAGAGCATGCTGGCGAGCTTGTTCAGTAGGTGAGGTGGGGATGTCCGTCTTCGGAACATTATTGAGAGGATAATATATCTTGGCTGTGCCGCAATTGCCCGCCTAAGTGAATATCATATCGGTACCCGTGTAGCCGTGGCTCAGCAAAGGTCTCTTGAAGTGGATGCAACATGATCTTGTAATGTCTGGTGTTGGCCTCACTATCCAACTACGAAATCGTCTGGACGAATGCTTAGTAGTTTTCAAACACAATCTAAGCGTTGGGTCTTGATCACAGCTACAATATCATGTCGGCAATATTTTCGAAACAGCTCACGCATCTGACATCTCATAACACACAACTTCATTAAGGCTTGACCCAATGCAACTCTATCACTTACTAAACAAGGCTTTTTAACATGAATGGCCGTTGAAAATTTGTGTCATCAAGCCTACCCAAGGGAGATAGGATCGTTGTTTTGCAAACAGCTGCATTGACCACATCGTCATATTCTGGCGAAGTGGATGCCGCACGAATCACCCTGATACAGTGGCGATAACACAACTCGACATCGATTCGGGAAAAAACCAAGGGCAAACTCGAACAGCGATACGAATGCCGAGAAAACATCACGATGACCACCAGAATGTGGTGCCCTGATATATCGAACACCACACCGTTGACGATGCTCGGTCGTTCGTGATGGAATTGGTCATTCCGGACGATCATCGCAGAATTTGGCGGCAGCAATAACCTTTCGAGGAAAGGTTATACCCGGACTAGAATTTTCTGTCGCGGCCCTAGAACCTACTTGAATACTCGCTTAGCAGCCACAGAGAGGGAGGAGATGGGCATGGAAAACGTGCATGCCTCCAGAAGCTTATTGGCGATACTTTCATTGGAGCGACGTTGAAATATGGAAGTAGTTTACCTTTGCAATGCGGGCAATGCGGTGTAACCCTTGGGTAAGATCTGCAACTTAAGTCAGTGAATGGGCCAGCAAAGAGGCCAGCACATCCACTGGCTCTGTTCCGTGATACGGGTACGAGGACGGGCAGGCGAGAAATGATTCGACCCCGTTCAACGTCCGAAGACGCGCAGAGTTTCAAAGACAGCCCAATCCCTGCCTCGACCTGGTGACCGTTGTGAGGTATCGTAAGCTTGGACTACCCTCGATGGAAAGCGCATAGCGAAAAAGAAAAAAGAAAAAAAGCACTGTCTTTATCTTTCTAAAATTCCATTGGATGTTTATGCGTCCTGCCCCGGCGCGGGCATGACGCTAGTTTCTCATCAAATGCCCGTTGTGGTAAGACCCTCGTCGTCGCAAACATGCTACAACCCTGTAACTCCCAGACAACTCAGCGCCAGTTGTTATATGCAGCGTCCAGAACCAGCATGTGAGCACCGTTGAACGGCTTTGCACGCTTTGCCTGGATGCCCACCCTTTGACAACCGTTATATAGAGAGGGGGCCTTTCAAGATTCATCCCAGCGTTTCATCCCAATGCGGTGCCTGTCGGGACGTTTTATGACGTACTGACAGGTTCCGCGATAGAAAGTTTCTCTGCACAATGCCCGCCGAGAGCATATTAAGGGTGAGAAAGAGCCCCGAGTCACAATGGAGGCAGAGTAGTTCAAAAGCTTCATAAGCGTCTTCGACTCCTGCGACTGAGCCCACTTCTCATGTCAAACCAAACACAAACATCAATACTATAATCTAAATCTCAAAAATAAACATATCAACACAATGCTCGGTATCGGTGGCCGGCTATCTGCGATCATTCCCATCATCGCTTCGGCTGTCGCCCTCGCACTCTCCATCGTCTTGTTGGCAGCTGGAACTAGCACAGGCAATGCAGGCAACAATTACTACTTATCGGTAAGTTCAACGAAGTTGCACTAACGAGATCTTCACTGACGCGCGAATCCGCAGCTAAACACGTCGAAAGTTGGCCAAAACATAATCAAAATCGAGGCGGCAAACAACACCAATGGAAATGGTAACGGAGGTGGCGGTCTGCTCAACGGCATTCCCGGAGACCCAACGGGCATATCTCAGGGCATTGGTAATGCCTTGGGCGGGCTACTCGGGAATCTCACCAACGCCATCGGCGATGGCGTACAAGATGTTCAGGGCCAACTTATTGGAAACCTGACCCAGATTCTCGGTGTCAAAGATAACTACCGCCTCTATTTGACAAAAATGTGCGAAGCCACCTACGCCGACGAAAACAACCCCAACAGCAAGGTCACTGTCAACAACTGCGAGAGCTACGATGACAAGGGTGCCGGTATGATTGCTTTCTCACCAGAAAGAAATTGTTTCATCCGCTAATCTAAATGTATAGGCCTGAGAAACATCACCGATTCCATCCCGTCTTACTTCGTCGTCGGCACTGCCAACGTTTCTGTCCCGCTCGTTGCTGCGATGGCCGGAACCTTCGATCAAGTCGTCAACCTAGCCAGCGGCGGCGCAAAGGCCATGACCGCTCTCCTTGCAATCGGCACCGCATGCACAGGTATTGTCCTCTTGGCAACTTTGCCCATCCTCTTATTTGGATTTCTCCGCATCCTCGTTCTCGTATCACTCGTCTTCTCCTTACTCGGCGCTCTCGTTCTCCCCGCGTTCGCTGCGGTCACAACCGGCATCATTTACGGCGGCAAGAGCATGCTGAACCAATCCATGAAAGCGTTTGGCATGCAGATCCAGACAGGTGGGCCTTTTGTCGCCATGGCTTGGGTCGCGGCTGTGGCTTCGATGGCTGCCTCCACGTACTGGTTCTTGGTCTGGTTCGTCAGCTTCAGACGCACGGCGTTCAGCAGGCGCAAGCGTACTGAGAGCGAGATCGGCAACTGGAGAGGTATCTTCCGGGAAGTGAAGGGCGATTTGCGAACGTGGGAGGGAGGCGAGAAATAAAAAGGGGCCCGAGCAATTTCAGCCGCATCTTAATTATAGCGAGAATGCTGGACCATTTCTTTTCAAGAACATATGGATGGACGGTACATATTGAGAAGAGCTTTGGGGCAGCCAACGAGATATTGTACGATAGTGGAGCAATCTCCAGATAGCGTTTGCTTGTTGCGCACGTCAAGAAATGATACCATGACCATAAGACCAACTGTTTTATATGTGGAGTTGCAGCTTGCGGAACATCCTCGATTTTGCCTCCGGAAATCATTGACAATGCATGGATACATACTGTCACAGTAGCTTCTGACCTACTCAACTGTGACAATAGGAAGGAGAATGGTGCTGTCGAAGTCGAACCCCCATTTGGGTTACAGGAAGCTTTTAGAGCCATGCTTTTTCAGTCCAAATAATCACCATGTTTCATATTGTAGAAACATGAAGTGATTCACGACAGGTGAAACGAAGGGAATTGTGAAGAGATCATTCACACAGGCTATGAACCCCCAACTCTTTATGACAGTCCAGAACAGGTCACTGATCTTTAAAAACTCTTCTGACATGATCCAATAATGATCTCATATGGGATAAAATCTCACGCGTTGCCATCGACTCATACGAGAAAATGTTCTGCCTACTTGAAGGTACAGAGGGAGATGTTTTAGTGAGAAGAGTTCACCTGGGCAGCCGTAAATGGGTCTCCACAGACACTCAATAGGCTCTTTCGCAACGGACCACGGAATGATACCCGAAAATGGTGTTATAGCGCTTATCCGCTGAAACGGTTTGGCGTTGGGGAACTCCCCAGACATCGAATGGCGTTATGATCAGGTTCATCTGCACCTTATTTTTGTTGATAATGGGACTACGCCTCTTACACTTGGAAAACACAGTTACCCGCCACTAGATGACTCTGCATCGAAGAGATTCACCCATCGTCTTCCAGCCCTCGGCACAGAACACTCGGTCCCGTTTATGCAAACATTAAACCCACAACAGCTGTTAACCAAACAAACCGCGCCCCCAGCACATGGTGATGTTGCATTGCACTGGTTATACCCTACACATCGTCCCGTCCGGAACGCAACTCCTCTACCCTCTAGTGTTGTGCCACAGAGACAGTCGGAACCCTTGACTGACGCTTCGGGAGGATAAGACTCCTTGCCGTCTTTTACTATGCACTTGCTCGGATTCGGACAGCATGCGAGGGCCATGGAATCCGTCACGTTACGCTCATACTCTGGCGGTGGCGAGGGCACACTGGAGATGTTCGCCAGAGGAACAGGTATCGTGGACGAACCCGCCTTGAAGTTCAAGTTCAGAGTCTCTGAGGAAAGAAGAGAGCGACAGACATCTGTCTTGATGGCTGTCACGCCGTATCCTTCGATCATGTCTCCTAGACCTGAATCAGCCTCCGAGGTGGAGTTTCTGAAAGTTGAGGTCGAGAAGTCGTATACCTCGATGAAGCTGTCGATAACTGAAAGAATGTCCCGGCTCAAATCAGTTCCGACATCAAGCCCCGCATCAAGAAACGGTTTTAGGAGGGCGTCGACATTGATGACGCTACTGAGTTCCTGGAATATGAGGCTCCACACCGAGGTAAATGGCGCACAAGTCCCGGCGAAGGAGCCTTGCGTGAGGTGGCTCAGTGTCTGCTGTACTGAAGTCTCGCAGGCTATTGAGTTGCTTTCACCGTTGGGGAACGCGCATTTCGCGACGAACTTTCCGGTTGCCTCAGGGAGAACGACACAGTCCGTGTCACCGAGAGAAACAGAGACGGACAAATCAGCGCGAGCGGGATCACCGCATTGATCAGTGAGATAGAGGACCACATCAAAGGCCTGTTCCTGTCTCTTATCCAGTGTTCCTTTGAATATTGGAAGAGAAACAGGTGTGTTCGTGCCATTGACAGGAATATTGTTAACGTCCCCACAAATTGAGTTTGTTAACGTGTTCAGCTGTTCGAAAAAGCCTGATATGAAGATGTCGATCTTGGGAGAGCAATTGGCCGAGGTGAAGTGCAGACCTTCCCTGTCAATAGAGAGGATATTGCCATCTTTATCAATGATTGCCAAATTTGAAGGATCAGAGACGTCGACTAGGATTGAATTGGTGTTGTTGTCCCTCAGGCGCAGATATTTTACCAAGTTAGTTGTGGCGTTCAGATAAAATGCGTCGATGTACGGCGGCTCACGGCCAGTGTTGTCCAGGAGGGATTCGTGGAGCGAGGCAGTAGGGATTGGCAGAGTGTAGCATGTGCTTCCGTTCTGAGCCACGGTGATGGAGATCCCAGTGAAAGTCGAGTTGTAGCCCGAGGTAGGTGTTGCTGAACTGCTTGTTGCGACAGATGAAGCAGAAGAGACAGTTCTCGACGCGCTTTCTGTTGTCTTTGGGATGGTCCTATTGAGTGTGCTTAAAAACGTGGCGCCTCCTGAGGCAGTCCAGCTAGAAACGCCGCCGCCACTCACGGTAGCAGCTGACTTGGTTGCACTCCCTGTACTCGCCAAACGTTGCGTCAAGGTGTCAAAGACAGTCGAACTGCCAATTACGGTCCAAGTTGAGGCGATACCATCGATGACAGTCGTGAACACTGTAGGGATAGCAGAGGCTGTGGGAGCTGCCGTGGTGTTGTTCAGAGACCCGAAAATGGTTGAACCTCCGATTATAGTCCAAGATGAAACGACACCTCCGACCAAACTGGTTATGACCGTGGGCTGACTGGTTTCCGTCGAATTCACTGAACTTACACCAAAAGTTTCGAAGATAGTTGAGCCTCCGGTAACCATCCATGAGGAAGCAGCGCCATCAATGATGCTGGTAACGACGGAAGCACCAGGGGGTAATGTAAGGATCGCCGATTTCGATATGTCGGATGAGCCAATAATGGTAGATCCTCCGGTGATGGTCCAAGTAGACCCGACGCCGTCAATGACACTTGTGAAGACTGAGATTGCGGCGCTCTGAGTCGGAGTTGGCATCGTCCCATTGAAAATCATAGAGCCAGTTGGAGGTCCGGTCGCAGTCCATGATGAAGCAAGCCCGCTGATTGCGCTCGTGATGGAAGGGACCAAGACGGAGGTAGAGGCTGTGGAATCCGAGGATCTGGGAACATTTGAGCCTTGAATCAGTGTCCAAGTTGATGCAACGCCACCAACGATGCTTGTGATGACGCTGATTGCGCCACTAGCAGTCTCAGATGAGCTGTATGCTGTAGCTTCAGTTGACGTTTTGGAAGAGCCGACAAGAGTTGAACCTCCACTGACAGTCCATGTCAAGCTCACGCCAATAACTGTCTCGGAGGAAACCATAGACGAGGTCGGAGTTCTTGCTGATTCATTCAAAGAAAGGAAAAGAGTCGAGGCTCCTATCATCGTCCAAGTTGAACCCACACCTCCGATAACACTTGTGATGGTATTAAGAGCACCGCCGGCAGTTTCGGAAGAAGTCGCCGAAGAAGTTTGAACACTTGTCATTTCAGCGGACTGAGGAGTGCCATTTGAACCCCCTGTTACCGTCCAGGTTGACTCCACGCCTCCTATAACGCTCGTGATGATAGTGAAACCACCCGTCATAGTCTGCGCAGGGGCTTCAGATGATGCGGATGACATCGAGCTCGACGAGCCGGTAACGGTCGAAGCCCCGATCATCGTCCACGTCGACCCAACACCGCCAACAGAACTTGTAATGACACTCAATACTTCTGAAGCAGTCTCAGAAGGCGTGACAGAGTGGGTGATCGAAGTACTATTGGCGAAAGTTTCCGATCTAGTCGTGGGGTGCGTGGTGACTATCCATGTCGAACCAACATTGCCTACGTCGCTGGTGACTGTGGTTGCCACAGCAGGGGATTGTGCTGACGAAGTGGCGGTGGTCTCATTAGGTACCGTAGATGAGCTGGAAATCCAGGAGAGAATCCACGAGGACGCACCATCTGTGCCAGTATTCGTCAGGCTGCCCACCTGAGAGGTGATCACCCTGCCAGATAACGTAGAAAGTAGACCGTTAGTGACGGTGGTCGTAGTCCCATTCACAACCATAGTAGATGGTGTCGATGGCTTGAGTACAGAGGAGTCTGAGGCAACCCCTGAGATGATGCTGATGAAGGTCGAGTTATTGTTACTGAGGGTAGTCACTCCCGTTGTTGCGCCAACTCCTGTCCCCAAAGACGTCGGCGATGCCGTATAGTTCCCAATCAGCGTGGCGATTGAAGCCGATCTCGAAGCCGTCCCACTGAGTCCGACTGTGATGGTGGTAGTACTAGACGGCGGTGCAGGACGACCTCCGCTGTCGCCATCACTTGGGAATGGGAAAACTGGCGTACTAATGTTGGTGCTGGTGCTGGTGCTGCCAAAAACAGCAGAAACGTCGACATAGATCGTGCTGATCATGGTTTCAGTGACTTGGACCGTCTTTGTTGCCTCGCCCCAACCACAGGTGGAAGCCGCGGAAGGCGAAAGAACGGATTCGGGAAAGGAGTAGGTGTAGCCACCGTCAAAGGTTGCATGGGGCGTCGTAGATAGGCCAAGTATATTCGAGAGCGCAGTCGACGAGGATGCAACAACAGTGGTGGTGTCTACGCTAATGTACTCTGAGGAGTCAATAGTTGAGCTTGCCGTTGCCGGAAGTGAATGGCATGGCGCCCGGGATGTTGAGTTGAGACCCAGAAGACAAGAACACTTCGTCTCGTCAGCAACCCTGAACGCGATAATCGCGGTTTGGCGGTCGCGTTACTTACAGCAGATGAGACAGGTCCACGATCGTACGTCGTCGGCACGCCGGCGGGGAAACTCGGCAATGTTTCGTTGTAAGAAATACCTAAGAACGAGGAACAGTATGCAGTCCCATTGTGACGCTCCATCGCCCGGAGAAGGTTATCGCCATGGCATCCCTCTGCCACAGTGATGGCCGCGCTGCCCACGAAGATAACGAAGGATGAGAGGTACATTGTAGCAAATACGGCGTGAGAAAGCCTGCCAGTGAGAGAACAGAAAAACAGAAAGTCGGAACAGTTCAGCGAGCGTCAAGGGTGGAAGAGGATCGGCTTCGTCGACCGCTGGGCTCAGTGAGGAGATCCACAACTCTACAGCCCATTTACCGATACCTTTATACAAGAACAAGTGACCCCGGTCGATTGCTCAACCGTATGTCTTGCCTACAGTCGTGTTTCCTGTGCTGATATTACGAGAAGGAATCACAGCCCCGAGACATCCAATAAGTTGTGGCTTGAGTCGTGGCACGTTCCCTTGGGCTTCTCGCTCAAGGAACCGTTGAGGATCCCGGCTATGCCCTCGGTACAGACAATTCTCTCATTAGAGAGACGCAAATATTGGGAACGAAGAATTGTTCTTATTAACCCCGTATATTCTGTTTCACATTTGGGATGTATACCGTCAGCCATGAAGCCCAGCTAGTCCAGGGACACAGGACTCGACATCGTACACTCAGCTCGTATGCGCGCATCCGAGACCGCAGCCGTGCACAGTTGAGATCATGCAGTTAATTGACTGACAGCGCTCAACTGCAGGTACATGACATCAACCGGGGACCCTCATATGCGACAAATCGCCGTCGACATCAATCTGAAGTCTTCAGCCCATATACCCATGTCCAAAGCTTGCTTCAGCCATCACGGCCATGTCGGCAAACGCCACCTTGTGGGAAGCTCGTCACCTTACCAACACGCTACCATTCGTTCAGACCACGGTAGTTGACTCATTTCTTGAAAGTTGGCGAGATGGCGAGATTCAATCAAGACCTTGTGCTCTTCCCTGTCAGACGGAACACACGAGAGGAAGGGTACAAGATCACGCACTCCATACTCCAGGAACAGGTCCAAAAGGCGAGGTCGAACAAGCATCAGACAGATAACATATGAAATACCGCGGGCCGAGGAACCCTTCGTTTGACGAACACGTAAAAAAGCCAAGAAGCCACCAATTTTTCATCATTACTTCTACCCAGCGCCCCTCGTACAGTCATTATACCCATGACACAGATAACCGACCCAGCCATAAACGGGCGCAAATGTACCAGGCTATGTCAACCAGAAACAACGCGCAAAAAAACACAAAACCAGCCATCATTCGTTACACTTCCTCATCCATTATGGCCTCACCGCGCCATCGTCGTCTGCTGCGTGGCCGTCTGAGTCTGGCCCTGCTGGCCCCTTCTCACAATGTAATCTTGGTTCTCGATTGTCACACTCTTTGTCATGTGATTCACCTTGTAAACACCAACAAGCCGGGCGGCCAGCTCAAACATGTTGTTTCGGAGTGAGATGACAATGAATTGGGCGTTTTTGGTGCGCTCTTTAATGTAGTTGGCGACAATTGAAACCTGGAAGGCAAGGTTAGCACGGGTGAATTAGCGAGAATAGGGGCGAGAACGGCTTACGTTTCTGAAGTCCAAGGCAGCGTCAATCTCGTCCATGACGTACAGAGGCGTCGGCTTGTAGTGATGGAGGGCAAAGACAAGCGCCAAACTACTGAGCGTTTTCTCGCCACCGGACAAGTTGCTGATGTTCTTCCATGACTTCTTTGGAGGCATGACACTGAACAGAATACCTTCGCTGAAGGGGTCAAGAGAGTCGACCAGCTCAAGTTCGGCGTTACCACCCATGGTGATCATTTGATACATCTCCTTCAGGCGCAAGGAGATGGTGCTGAAGCCCTCCATGAAGCCTTCGAGCCGCAAACGCCGGAGCTCGTCGCAGCGCTTCTTGGCAGCGTCGCGTTGGCCGACGGCGCTCTGCAGGTCTGATGAGCGAGCAGCGTGCTCCTCAACACGGCGACGGTACTCGGCGAGCACACCGAGATCAACGTTGACGTTCTGGGTTTTTTCCTCCAAGGCGGCGATCTCTCCCTTGAGCTTCTCTTTGCTCATATCGGCTAGTTCGTCAGGGGTGTACACAGGCAGCTCTTGAGGCTGGCTTGAAGGCCGCTCAGGCTGTTCGGCTTCTTCGTCATTCTCTTCGGAGTGCTGGGATTCGTTGCCGTTCACTGCATCCTGAGTGACGGTTCTGTCACCATCGCCCTCAGCTTCTTCGCCTTCCTCTCCCTCGACAGGTGCTGGTGCAGAAGTACGCTTGGGTGCGGAGTTGGAGGTACCGGTGAGGTCCTCAACGTTCTGGAGCGTCAATTTAGACAGCTTGTCGTTCCAGTACATGAGCCTCTTCTGGTTCTCGGCTAGAACCTTCTGGTTCTCTTCGAGTTTGTTGCGCATCTCAATCTCGGTGGCACGAGTAGTGTTCAGCTCAGAAGTCTTCTCGTCGAGTTCGGCCTTGAGGGATGACAACTCCCGCTTCTTTGCCGCCAAGCCCTCCTCGGCCTCATCGACCTGGCTCTGAAGTGACTCGGCCTTCTCGCCCTGGTTCTCGATCTCGTGATCGAGCTTCTCAAGATCTCGGATCGCCGCCTCAATCTCCTTAGTTGCCTTGGCGTGATCTCTCTCGAGCTTCGTCTTATGCTTCTCGGCCTTGACCTTGCGGACCTCGGCGTTGGATGTCTCCTCGTTCTGAGACACAATCTCCTCTTTCAGGGAATCGACATTGGCTCTCTGCAGGCGGAGTTTTTCACCACCAACTTCCATAATCTTGTCTTGAAGGGCCTTGATCTCTTCCTCGACACCAGATGTCTCGTCGTGAAGCTTCTCTACCTCCTTGTTGAGCTTGGCAATCTCCTTGCGAAGAGCCGCAATGCGGTTGTCGTCCGAGGCCGAAGGCTGGTGTTCTTTGCTCAACTCCTTGATGCGGCGGTGAGCATCAGCGAGATTCCGGGCGGCACTCTCAATTTCCAGAGTGATCTTCTGCATTTTGGTATCGAGCATAGGGATCTGTTCGTTGAGCTCGCGCAGCCTTGTCTCGAGCTCTCGCTGCTGTTCTTGGAAGTCGTTGTACTTCTCTTCCAGAACGTCACGATCCTCTTCGAGTTTGGTGACTTGCTCCTTAGAGGTCTCGGCAACAAGCTTCGATGACATCAGGCCTCTCTTGACAGTCGAGCCACCACCAGACATAGTACCAGACTTGTCGATCAGCTCGCCAGCTAGGGTAACAACACGCCATCTCTTAGCGCCGTAGGCGATTCTGTTAGCTTGAGCAAGGTCGTTGGCCACCAGAGTGTCCTGGAGGGCATGGTAGAAGGCAGGCCTGAATCTTTCTTCCTTGGGAGTGACAAGGTCGAACAGACGAGGGGCGTTCTCCGGGGTCTGGATTGGCTTCATGTCCCGTACTCTGAGTTTGTCCAAACACATGAAGTTGCCGCGGCCAAGGTTGGTCTTGCGCAGGTACTCAATGCACTGTTGACCAGCCTCGACGGTGTCAGTGACGAAGTTGTCAAGAGCCCCACACGCCGTGGAGATGGCGACATCGTACTTCTGATCGATAGCGCCAAGGTTACCAAGTCTTCCATGAAACCCGTCGATACGGCCAGACTCGCGCATGCGCATCAGAGCCGTAAGCACATTGCCCTGGGTCTGTGTCTTAGACAGACTAGAGCGCGCTTCGTCGGCTTTCTGTCGGGCATTTGATACCTTTGCGCGAATCTTGGGCTCGTGGGCGTTGAAACGAGCCAATTCATTCTCGACTTCCTTTGCCTCCTCCTCCAACTTGGCCTTCTCGGCCTGGCACTGCTTGAGCTCCTCGGCCTTGGCGGTTCTGGCATCCTCGATGGCGGCTATCTTGGCCTCCGTCTCAGAAATCGCTACTGCACCGGCGTTGGCCTTCTCTTCAAGGATGTTCATCTCGCTCTGCGCGACAGCAATTGCGGACTGCTTCTGGTTGATCTTCTCCTTCCAAGGCTCCAAAGACTTCTGCTTGATTGCAATCTGATCGGAGAACTTCTGCGTCTTGCCCTTGAGGCTCTCACGGATAGTTGCGAGCTCAGCCTCTTCTTCCTGTACTCTGATCTCGAGCGAAGCAATCTCCTTGGCGCGGTCCTCGATCTCCTCGGTGCACTGGGCGATGGTCTCTTCAGCTTCAACGGCAGATTTCTCGGCATTGGCGATAGTCTTTTCCAGCTTCTTCTGCTTGTCGTTGAGAAACTTCTTCTTCTCGTCAAACTTGACACGTTCTTGCTCAAACTTGGCCATCTCCTTGACGAGGGCCTCAGTGTCCTTTGCTTGCGTCTCAAATTCTTTGCTGCCGCGAGAGTAAGACTTTTGCAGTTCCTTGATAATCTTTTCGCTGCCGTGGTGTTTTTCCAGCTCTTCGTCTAGCTGAGCCTGCATTTGGCTGATCGCCTCTTCGGTAACGGCGACGTTGTCGTTGCATTCTCCAATGTACAGTTGGTAGAGGGCGGACTTCTTGATTGTAAGCTCATTCTCGTCGCGAATGTATGCCAGCGCTTTGTTCTTCTTATCTTCGAGACTATTTTTCTCCTTCTCAACATGCTGGACACGGCCGCTTTTCTCCATACAAATTTCGTTGAGAGTTTCGACCTCAGTCGCGGACTCCTCGATCGGCGTCTTATACTTAGAGGTGCCAATGATATCCTCCAGGTATTCGAGGAGACCGTCATCGTGCTCGTTGGCAGCCTTAGGCTTCATCTGCGCGATAGACTCAACCTCACCCTGCAAGATGAGGAAACGCTTATGATCGAGGTCGATGCCGCGATCGCGGAGGAGAGTGGTGACCGTAGTGAAGTTCGAGGTTTTGCCGTTGATGTAGTAAGAGCTAGAGTTGTTCTTGAAGGCTTTACGAGAAATGATGAGGTCGGAATCAGGAATCACTTCATGACCGCCACCGGGCTGCACCCCTGTTAATATTCGTCTACAAAAAGGGCTGAGAGTTACAAACCTGATCCATGACCTCTCGGAAATGCACAGAAACTTCGCAGTAGTCCAGGTTGGGGTGCTGCGCGGAGTTGTGGATAAGAGCAGAGAGCTTGCCCTGACGCATCTTGCTGGCACGGAAACCAAACACGAAGAGTAGGGAGTCGATGACATTGGATTTTCCGGAACCATTGGGTCCAACAACGGAAGAGAAGGAACCGTGGAAGGGGCCGACCTCCTGTCTTCCCGCATAACTCTTAAAGTTGGTAAGGATCAAGTAGGAAATGACAAGACGAGGCTTGGGAGTCGTGTCCTCGACGACAGGAATTGTAAGGTTCCGCGACTTCAGGACGATGTCCATCGGCTTCTCCAAAACAGTGTCCATGGCGCGGACAGGCTTAAAGGTGGCCTGTGTGTCATCAGGGGCGGGCCTTTGCTCGTTGATGGTGGCAGATGTAATATCGGCAAGAGGCTCAACCTGCGGCCGGGAAGGCTCGGGTGTGGCGGATGGTTTGGGCGTCGGTCTGGATGAGGGTGTTGAGGACTTGGTGGATCCACGAGGCGCGGCACTCTTCCTGGGCTTTCCAGGTGAGGCCTTTCTCGGAGAAGATAGCGGCTCGTTCTTGGTAACGGTCTGGTCGGGATCGAAAATTTCGCTGGGCTCTATTGAGGGGGCAACGTCAAGTGTTGTGGGCGTCTCTAGAGTCGATGGTTCTTCGACAGCCGAAGGTTCCTCTGCCACTGACGTCTCTGCTACAGACGGCTCGTCTACTGCCGAAGGATCCTCGAGGATTGAAGAGGCCTCAAGCGTCGAAGGGGCTTCTGACGGCGTAGGCTCGGCATTCTTTTTCGGTCTGCCACGACGGCGCGGGGCAGTCGGGGTGGGTGCAGTTGTGGTGGGCGCAGACTTGGGTGCAGCGCTCTTTCGAGCGCGTGTTGGTCGGCGCACTGGGCTCTTTGAGGGCTCTGGAGCGAAGTCTTCCTCACTCGATTCCCTCTTGGTGACGTTGGCGATCTCATCATCATCATCCGACGAGTCAACGATGGCCTGGCGGCGCGTCGCACGGCGCGGGCGAGACGACATTATGCTGGTTTAGCGTTCGGTGCTGGTTAGTCGTCAGAGACAAGTTGCGTGGCAAAGATGTAGAACGCGAGGGTATCTCAATCGATAAGTGACAAGAAATCGAGTAGGGACGAAAGAAGAAAAGCAGCAAGCGCAACGATGCCGCCCTAGCAAATTCGTGTTTTTTTGAGTGATGTCGGGATGCGAAAGGGAAAATGCACCTGTGTTGTTTGGTTCCCCCACTTTGATCTGTTTGAATTGGTCACCGATTAGGCCGATTGTAAACAAACAAGCCACACCGCCCACCCCCACACGCCACAACTTTGGCGGAGTCACGTCAAGTCGCGACTGTGGCTGGAGCTCAATGATTTGACGTGGTGTGGCTGGAGATTCCCGGTCGCGAAAGAGAGCAATTGGCCGGTCGCATTCAACCTACCGAAAAACATCCAGGCACTGGGCTCAACTCTAGGCTTGTATATCCAAAGCTTGTGTTACCGTCCTTGACTACCTTTACAACTACCTGTAGACCCGACCAAGTTTATCGCCTACAAGACATCATCATGTTCGACTACACTAACTTTGATCACGTCTTCGGAGCGCAACAATTTCCTTACGACCGCAAGTCCATCCAAGAGATCGACACGTTCCGCAAGAGTCTCGATGGCGCCCTGTTCATTGACCGGGTTCTGAAGGCTTTGGGTCTCACCAAGGGTACGATGCTCCTCCAAGCGGCCTCAAGAGCATGACTGACGCAGGGCCATAGCCAAGACCTACCCTCCCAAGTCCGAGAATGCTCTGCGCACCCTTCACCAGCAACTCTGCGAAGCCACCATGTCGACACACCACCGCCTCTCGATCTTCTACTATATTCTGCTTGACTTTGACACTAGCCAGACTAGAGCTCAGGCGTCGTCCAAGTTTGCAGTCACTTCGGGCGTTCCTAAGAACTACCAGATCTTTATGAAGGGCCTATGGCTGTTGGACCATCAGCAATTTGAGGTGCGCCTGTCAGAGTTCGCTACGCTCGTCCACTTGCTAACATCTCCTCAATAGAAAGCACTCGAATACATCGCGCATCCATCGCTTACCACAGACTTCGCCGACGAGATCATGACGGCCCTTGTGCGGCATGCACCTGACGGGGACTATACCTTGCCTCTGTCTTACTTCCACACCGTTCAACCTATTTTAAAGACCTCTGCGGCGCTAGAACTGCTGTTTGATGCCATGTCACGTACTAGCGTCACCGAGGCACTCTATTTCTCGAGGACATACGCCGATGCTGTGAGAGCACAGCTCTTCCGCCAGTTGATCTCGACAGTGATTGGTGCACCTGCAAGCGAGGAGACTGCTGCCCGCGCCACAGAACTTGTCGGCCTACCTTTTGATGCAACAGAGGAGACTTGGTTTGAGGAGTTTCTCTCGCAGGAAGATGGCAAGAAGCTGAAGAAGGCACGCGACGCTCTACTCATGCGAAAGCTTGTCACGGGTCTGTTGAGCGAAGCTATCAAGGATAAGAATCTGGGAGGGAGATGGGGAGTGGTCTTGGAAGGCGTCAAGAGTGGGCTGGGTGGGCGCGCGGAGTAACAGTATGTCCACCGGGAAATAATCTTCAGGTCACGGTCAGTACTGGGATGAAGACGTGTCTTTGGCATAGCGTTGGCGTTTGGACTGGTGGCTTTTACCCATATTTTGATCAAGGGATGAGCAAGAAGCTCAGCGGGCTCAGCTCGATCTAGTCGTGTTTGATGCTCGGCGGGAAATGAAAAGTTTACAATGTTGATGATTCTTATATAAACCGCTGCCCTACGTCTCTCTTCATCAAAGCCGAATATTTAATGTAGTCGTGAAGCCTGGGCCGTCTAACAAAGTGAATGCTAGGACAGCCAGGTGAGCCGGGCGAGCAAGCCACACCGAGAATACACCGAGAAAATGAGCAGATGACTAAGTTCATGTCGAGTCACACCTGTCTATGGTGGGGTTCCTTCACCTGCCTTTAGTGCCCTGTACCGGTAGATCCCACTGCCGAACCACCGGGCCATATACCAAAGCTGCTACACCGTCTCATTCTCGCTTGTGTCCTGCCTCACTCGACTCGCCGGACGGACATATGCGGTGATCATGCTTCATTTGCGCGACGCTTCCCTACCATTTGTTCTGTTCGGAGTCGCCCAGGCCTCAGAACGATGAACAACTCCGCCAAAGGCGTCAAGTTTGTCGGGTCCGACGCTTCAGGGCTTCCTCTCAAGCGGAAGCAGGTCCAACAAGCATGTGAGTCATGTCGAAAGAAGAAGGTTTGTTGGATGCACACCTCTGGCAATTCAGGCATGTATCTGATCTAGTTTTTAGAAACGCTGCGTTCATGCTGAGTCCTCGCTGGCCGAGCCTGCGCATGCCAACGGGCATGATGGGCCTGCGGGTTCCTCGCCGGCCAAAGACGTGTTGGTTTCCCAATCAGGCAAAATCTGGATCTAAGCTGACCCTCATTCAAGACATCTGGTCTCGGGCACCGTCTCGCCCACCAAGCATCGCAACTCAACGGCTGCAGCTTCCGATGCGCTGTCTAAGTCACCCTCTCGCCGCGACTCGGCCACGTCAGGGCAGCCGGAACATGCGCAAACCCCCAGACACGGTTTGTGGGTGATCTCAACCCCGAGGGCATGTTTGCCGAGGCCGCCGACCCAGGAGCGGCGGCGAACCCGACTCAAAAGGCCGAGGTAGGCGTATGGCTTCCGTCGGTCAATACGGCAGCCGCCCAGTCGACTGCCAGTGTCGCATCGCGTCCATCCGCAATGACCGATAGGGCTCTATTGCCTTTCGTAAGGGAAACTTGCCTCAAGTGTATGCCGCCCGAAAAGGATTTCAAACACCTGCACCGCGTGTATCGGGAGAAGATCCACCCCATCTTCGCTTTAATCCCCGAGGACGTCTTGGATGATGGCGATTCTCCCACAGCCATTGTCATGCGCCAAGTCGTATCTTTGGCTGCCGCTACCGATCCCGAGATGAAGAGCCATTTACGTCTCGCTAACCAAGGAAACAAGAAGCTATCCTACCAAGACTTTTCACAGACGTTGTCCGGCTCTGTCCGAACCATCCTGGAGACGAGCTTGATTTCAGACCGGACAGTACATATTCGTGCCCTATGTATGCTGTCGCTGTACGTTCAACCTTCAAGTGCCGATGAAGCAGATTTGCCTGCTCAGTTGGGTGCGCGGGCGGCCCACCACTCCCAGACTCTTGGCTTGCATCTTTTCCACTCTAGCGATGACGCGCTGGATACACTGTTTTGTGCCGTCTGGGCCCTCGACCGCATCAACGCCGCCGCATATGGAAGACCCTGCGTTCTGCACGAGGGAGATATTGGGCCCGGCCTCGCCGACTGCTTCCGTAGACAAAAGCCGTGTTTCCGACTCTTCCTATCGGTTGTGCAGTGGCTGGATAAGGTTATTGAACTTTACAGGCCAGGCGTTATCGCTCACTCTCTTGAGAGCAAGCCGTTCATTGACCTGCCTGTTCTTGAGCCCATGATACTGGAAGCCGAGGCCTTACAAGTTTCCACGCCGCTGCTTGGTATGTCAGACTTTGCCATTTATCCATCTTGGTTCAGGGATTCTAACAGGCTTGCAGCGACCATAGAAGTATTCTATCACGCCGTGATTATTCTATCTTGCCGCCTTTCTAGACCAGGCCCCCCAGCGCAATACGCCTCGTCCATACCACCTGCTTCAGCAAATGCCCGTCGCTCCCTTGCAGCCGAGCGCATATCTTCAGCCATTCGTCGAGATCATCTTAGTCCCGTACCACTCGTCCCTTACGCCCTCTCCCTCGCTCTCAGCGTTGAGTACAGGAAGATGCGACACAGTGCTCTACCCATGTTTCGCGCTCGCGCCCGCAGTGCCTTTAAATCCAACTCGGAGCTGATGAAACGCTTTGGCGACGTGTTCTGGAGCGCAAGGGTGGTTGCCGGATTGGGAGAGCGCATTCTGAGAGAAATGGAGCGAGCAGCCAACTCTATTGCCCAAGGAGCAACGGCAGCACCTTTGCCTTCATCTATCACCGATATCCCCACGAATGGAAGGGCGGAGGAGCCTGCCGCAATGCCTGCGGCAACGGATGCAGCTCCGCAGGCGGCGACAGCACCGGCAACCACCACTTCAACCACCGAGTTCCCGCCCCTTGATGCTATCGACTTTTCTGTCGTTGATGCCATGCCTCATCTGGACGTGTTTGGTCATTTTGATCCGAGCTTCAACCTTCCGGCAGTCGACAATGCCTTAGAAGCCAACCTTGACATCGGGCTACCTTTGAACTGGGGCGAATGGGATCACTTTGCTGGCTGAGCACGAATCTCACGACCTGAGATGGTGAAATGAGACCTGGGAGACCACAAACCTCCTCCAAGTCATGCGGCTTCACATTGAGCACCATGCGTCAATCGCAGCAATATGCTTTTGCGAAGACGAAGAAGAGGGCGCATCTTCATTCTACAGACTAGCGGCTCCGCTTGAAGAACAGAGTCTTGAATGACTCCTGCCAAAATCATGGCATTCATAGCAAGATCTAGACACTGTCTACCTTCTTCCGCTTTACTAACCGGTGCACCACCTAGACAGAGTGGGAACGGATCATTCGCGAGGAGTCGCCCTGTCGGTTGTTGCATCGCCACGGCCCTTACCGAGGCTTGGGATCAAAATCGTGGCGATTTGTTCAACACAACAACAGCACATCCTCATTTTTGAGGGGCCAAAGTACCACGGCTGGGTCTATGAGGGCATTCAGATGTAAGAAGTATTTACTTGTGCTTTTGAAGGGTGCAAAGAAAGGTGATGGGGCAAAGTCATGTTCCTGCTTTCATCAAAACATAAATCTTGATCTTCTAATGTCTACTGCTTTGTTGCCTACATTAGAGACCAAATTCAAAGCTCTTCAAACTGTCAAGAATCCTAAAACTGAAAGAGCCTAAGTGCTTACTCTGAACCTGTGCTGTGATGATTCCCTACCAATGAGCGACCAAATGCATGATGCCTCGATTTGATTACTAAGCATCAACTCCGTAGACCCCATTAAACTGCCGAAGCTCCGGTCGCCACCAACGCGGGATCACTGGGAGCTTTAATGCATCTTCAACCCTTTCACTCCAACGATAACCAGGGCCCCGTCCCTTTGCGTCTTTACATGAAGTTCGTACAGTAGTCACGATTCGAACATGGCACCGCCTTTAAACTTATTGATCCGTGCTCTCGTGGCCTTCGAGGACGTGATTATCCGCCAGGTAAGCAGCTTCATGCATCATGTTTGCGCCTGCGCCTGGGGGTCTCGTAGTAGTATGACACGCGCTGACGTATAGTTGGTCACAGATCCTGAGGAGTCCCGGCTTCCACCGCGGCGTTGGCCGGATCCATCGATATGTCGACGAGAAGCGCAACGGGCCCTTGCCGCATGAGCCGTTGCGCCAGGGCCAGGCGTCTGGTACGTTTAATCTGGGAGTTGTTTGAACAATAACTGCGAGAAGGGCTAACGCTGTTTCTGCAGCGAATCCAGAGGATCGAGGCTTCGTACAGTACTTCTTTGAGGAGCTGAAGAACCAATTCCGAGGAACGCCATCGAATCCACCGCCTGGGCCGCCGAAGCGATGATGAACTCGACGCGACTTTCGAACGAGACACGGAGCATTTCCGCAAGCTTAAAAGAGTTGGAGTATAAACCTGGACATGAACTATTTGCAGTGGAGGCTTAGTCTAGGGGCTTCGAACAACCGACACAATCAGCACCCATGTCAACAGTTGATGGGTAACAGGCAGGACAAGGCATGCGGAACCACCAACAAACGATCCAGTCTGCGTTGGTGTTCTCGTACCTCGAGGCTCTCTTTCGCGATACATTCGTAACTGCCTTTTGCGCCACCGCACGTCATTGATGTCTGGAGTACTATGGGCAACTGAGGTTTGGATACGAGAACTCGGGGATGGTTCACGCGGCCTTTCCGGGTTCGCGCTGGAGGCTTAGTTCATATAATTCGTGGAGGAGATAGTCCTGCCGTAGAGGACCGCAGCGTCATATGAGGTTCGGTATCACTCGGTAACTCACCGACGTTCGGGACGTCCGATGCCTTCGGAAAGCGGAGTCTCGGCCCGGCAAGCATTTTGCAAAACCCATGCTCGTCAATCATCAGAAACGTCAGGCTCGTCCGCCGGCACGAATGAAAAGGCTTGAAGCATGACTCGAAAGTCACTGAAGAGAAAGTATCTCTCGCCTATTAAGGTGCCCCAAACCCGACGGGTTTGTCCGCAGGAGCGAGTAGCATTCCGATACAATAAAACAAGCTTTCATAGGCAAATCCCGTAAATCTCTCCCACACCCTAATAAACATTCGGTCCACGGTCAAGGGTCGGCGCGACACACGTGAGAACCACTCCGTGCGCTCACTTTCAAAGAAGCGTAAATTGACCCCAGCTCCTACTAGGTTATGCTCCTGACGCCGAGCCGATTGAGGGGTAAGCGGAAAATGGAGGACGGAACCAGATGCGAAAGTTGCCCCTTTCGGGAACCCCAATCTACGTGATGCAACCCTCGCTCATGTCCTAATACCACCCTTCCAGGCCATTAGCATAGACACTCCGTCCTCAAAAGAGAATGGCCTCGCCGAACTACCGGCCTTCGAACCGCTTCACTGCCCGTATCGTCTAGTTTCGGAGTGCCCTCCGCCTGTTTCCCATCAAAAGTCAGCTGCTCAGCTCGTTCCGCTCGCTTTCTCACGTCGACGCCATGTTCTCACATGATTTTCCACCAAGCGCAATGCTGCGCTTTCTAGCAACTGGTCTAGCCTTGTAAGTGATGTGGTTGATAACTCGCATCCTAGCTGCGGCGCATTGCCTGCGTTCCCGAATAGGATATTTTCGTGGACGAAGCGAGTGCTTCTGTGTATAAGCAGACGGTTCCTTCGAGCTACCGCGCAAGTTATCTATCGCCTACCTCTAAGCTTCCTTAACGTCGCCTTCAACTATCTGGATACTTGCCATGAGAACCGACGTTAGCATCGCTGTGCTGCTTGCACTGGCGCAAGGAGTCTCGGCTCAGCAGGCGCCATGGGGCCAATGCGGCGGTGCTGGATGGACAGGACCAACAACTTGCGTAGCGGGATGGCATTGCGAGAAGTCCAATGAGTGTAAGCATTGAAATGCTCTACGACGGAATTCTTCTAACCGATGATAGGGTATTCGCAGTGTCTTGAGGGAGCCGGCTCGCCTTCCCCCACCACTCTGTTGACAACCACCTCAAAGCCCCCAGTGGCCATCACATCAAGCACAGGCCGTTTGTCCAGTTCGTCCCAATTAACCACTTCTTCCAGGTCTTCTTCCGTCAGCGCCGTCCCGACAGGTTGCTCCGGTACATTCACAGACATCTCCGCAGCGGACTACGTCAAGGCCATGAACCCGGGATGGAACCTGGGAAACACGCTCGATGCTATTCCCAACGAGGGGTCGTGGAATAACCCACCTGTAGTTGACAAGACTTTTGATGATGTGAAGGCTGCAGGCTTCAAGAGCGTTCGCATACCGGGTAAGCAGACATAACATGCGAGACTGGGTCGTAATGGGTATTGACGTAAGGTAGTGTCGTACAGCGACCACTTCACCAGCGATGCTCCTAACTACACGGTTGATGCAACTTGGCTTCAACGTGTGTCCGATGTAGTCGACATGGCAACTGCCCGGGGGCTCTATGTTCTGACCAACGTACATCACGGTATATCATGCTTGTCCATTCCACCTATCCTTCATCATACGTGTACTCACACATCCATCAGACTCCTGGAACTGGGCCGATGTCACCAAAGCAAACACTGACGCGGACCTCAAAATTTTGAATGACAAGTTCTACAACCTCTGGCTCCAAATCGGCCGCAAGCTTGCCTGTAAATCTAACCTTGTTTCCTTCGAATCCATCAACGAGCCCCCTGCCACTACCGCCGAGCATGGCGCCCGCATAAACACCCTCAACCAGCTCTTTTTAAACGCCTTGTCCGACAGCGGTGGTTATAACACCCGCCGAGTCGTGAACCTCGTCGGAGGAGGCATGGATGCAGCCAAGACAACGCAGTGGTTCAAACCCCCGGCGATTATCAAAAACCCTTGGGCGCTGCAGTACCACGTCTACAGCCCCTATGACTTTATCTTCTCGGCGTGGGGCAAAACGATTTGGGGCTCTGACGCGGATAAGTCGGCCATGGCAACCGAGCTGGGCATTGTGAGGGGAAACTACACGGATGTACCGTTGATTATTGGAGAGTTTGACGCGAGCCCCTTGAACACGGAGCTCGCTGCTCGATGGAAGTGGACGGATTACTTGGTCCGCACGGCGGCGGGACTGAATACCGCCGTTGTGATTTGGGACAACGGGCTGGACCACCTCGACCGTGACGCGCATGTCTGGCGCGACCCAACGTCGATCAGCATTCTTAACAACGCCGCCAAGGGGACCAAAAACTCGCTTCCAGATAGCACCGTCGACGCTTCGGCGACGACGCAGTCCTCTTCGGCGTACGTTTTCAACAAAGTTGGGAGCACTCCCGGGGACCAGGCCCTCCCTTGGCTGTTCAACGGCAACACTCTCAAGACGATCAAGTCCAACTCGGGTGCCACGCTGGTAGTCGACAAGGACTACACCGTCTCCTCGTCGGCCGTCACGATTAAGGCCTTATTCCTGGCGCAGTATCTCACGCCCACAGCTGCACCTGGGAGCAAGGCGAATCTGACGCTCACCTTCTCGGCCGGCGCGACGTCCCAGATCGAGATTGTCCAGTGGGACGTGCCGACGCTAGCTTCGACGAGTTCCAAGGCCGTTGCGGGCGCTGATCTGAATATCCCAATCACATACAAGGGGGTAAAGATACCCGCCGCCGTGAAGGCATTGAGCAGCGACGGGGTGTATCTTTTTGATGATTGGACGCAGTATCTTGGACCGCTTCAACAAGCGCGTATTGTGAGTTACTACATGTTCTTACCCCGAAGGGGCTATGAGACTACTCGAGTAAAGACCATTACTAACAACGCGGATGGTAGACTTTCAACGGACAATGGAATTACGATGGCGCCAAAGTGATTTTGCCTGCGGCCACCGTCCAGGCCGTCATCGCCTCTGGAAAGACGACAACATTTACGTTCGAATTTTACCCGCGTGTACCCGGGAATAATGTTATGTACACTCTTAGCCCATAGGGGCATTATGGGATATCATCTCGAGATTTCTCGTTAGCATCGTTGATGCCTCAGATAATTAGCATTGCGTATATTATCTCATCTCCCAGTGTCCCGTCTACATTACCAGTGATCTATGCGCGCTTCTGCTGCCTCATCCTGATCATAACAGTCAAACTCTTAAGAGAAACACCATCTTTTCCTTCTTCATCTTCTTCTCCCCATGGTTAGCTTGAGGTAATGTAGGGTTGACCGAAGATGTACTCATCGGCTGACGACCCAAACAACCAAGTCTGCAGTTCCCTGAGAGCATCCAAGTCGTTTTGCGCCAACGCGATCAAGACATCTGGGTTGTGCCACCCATGTGTTCTCTTGGTGTCCATGGACCCATTTCTTAGATCCTCCCCGACGGGAAGGCAGCTGTCGAAGTCTCCAAGAACCAGTCTGCCATCTTCAGCTATCATGATGTTAGAAGGCGTGATGTCGTTATGAATTAGGCCGAGAGAGTGGAGATGGTCAATGGCACTTTGAATGCCGTCCAACTGCATAGTGTTGTCCACCAGTGATCGCCCACTCGAAATAAACTCCTACTTGTTCAACCAGCGAGGATTGACCTTTTCAGCCAAATTTGGCCCATATCGCTCGAAACAGAGGCCCGACACTCGCCCACACGTTTCGCGATATCCGTAGTAGCAGGCAATATCTGGATGAGGGTTTCTCTTCAGTATCTCGCAAGTTTCAATTTCCCTCAGTATCAGGTTTTCCACCGGCCCTGCGTAAGCAGAGAGGCTCAGCTGTTTGACATAACAGTCATGCTGTGGCGCGAGTGTCCAAGTAGGCCTCACCAGAGGCCCTCGATCCTCCAGCTCCAGTTTTGGCGCGCTTTTGAGGTCTGAGAACATGACCGGTCCTTTCCTTCGGTCCGTCCATTGCGCGATGTAGGTGATGCCATTTTCCTTGACAATACCTTGCATGCGGTAAAACTGTATCTTGCCATCGACTCTTTTGAAGAGTTCACTCGTTTCGATGATTTCCATGGTAATGAGCGAAAGTGGCAGGCGTTAGGGTAGCGAGCTTGTTATGAACGTCGAAAGGGATTGCTGCCTGACCTTATGGTTGAAATAGTTTAGGCAACGTGCGACTCAGCTGTAGGTAAATGTGGCCAATAGGAGGCAGAGTGACATTATAAGTCCCTTTCGTTAGTCTATCGAGGGAGATATCTGCATTCTTAAGAATATGCTAGGTATATTTGGGCGACACATTACAGCCTGTTACTCATTTCAATCCATGCACTTAGCGGAGATCTAAGACGTGAGCTTGGGAAAACGGGTAAGGGGATCCATCATGGCGCCTATGTTGTAGAATAATTGGGTGGCTCGGGTGAGTAAATCATCAATAATTTTGTTGTTATAATTGGATTCTTAGGATTTGGTAAATACCAAATGGTGAGAAAACTAAAGGCAGGTGATTGGTGGGAAAATAAACTGTGAAGGGCGGTAGGGGAAGGACAAAGAAAGGGAAACACGGTTGTTACGACCAAGTTTTCTCGACCGAGAAGATTAGGAAGAGAACCAAAGGTTCTCATTTGTGGACTTAGATGAAAAAGAAAGAGAAAAGAGGAAGGCAATAACTAAGTCAAAACTCGAATTCGCAATACCTATGCCTTTATGAGTCAATCTACATGTTGGCAGCCTGCGCCCTTCATGCTTCTCATCTTAATTGCCACAACGGAGGATTTCACAGATTTTGCACGCTCACTAGTGTTGGATACTTGTTATTTCGTTCTCGCCCACTCATTAGAAGGCCATGGTAAGTGCTCATCTCAAACACTCGCTCTAGATATCACTAGATCCTTCATCAGTACGCACCATCGAACGTCCTAGATATGCAACTTGTTATGCTACAGATGAGCGCCTGAGGAAAAGTCACCATTTTACATGCCGCAACCGACGAAGGCCACGAAAGATTCGTTTGGTATTTGCTTTTAGATATTGATGATCCAAACTTCAGGGTAGTTCATGGATAGACGTACAAGGCTAAGCCCTGCAATTTCAACACGCAGATCTAGGAGTAATCCAGCGTTCAATTGTACCATACAGAACTGAAGTCGATGGGAATCAAGTGGTGTTAATTCTTCTACCAAGACAACTACTTAAAAGCTGCATCCGACCATGCGTTCCAATGCTCAAAGTTCAAAAAGTTCCACACAACATTTGGGTCGACGAGGTTGGCGTCGAAATCTCCCGGAATCATGGAAACACCAAGCTCCATATCACCCGCATGCGTACCCGTGCCTTCCGATGTGAAAGTGGGTGACGTAAAATTAGGCTGACTGCTGCCATCCAAAGCCTTCATTGCAGGCTCGGTTTCTGTAGTTACGCTGTTCTTCCGCGGTTCTCCCGAGTGAGTCTTTGCAGCCACGTGGAGAAGTTCCTTCACGATATCGGCGCATCTCCTTGCTACAGCCAGCATCTTCATCGCCTTGAAGATGTCGAGACTGAGCTCGATGTTTTCCATTACCTCTTCCGCAGGGAAAGGGCAGATATTAGAAATGAGAACATGAAGGAGTACCATGCAGGCATCCAACAGATACATGCAGTTGTACCACCTGAGCCTGGGTTAATCTATCTTATTAGTGTTTGCCGCTGGACTGGACCACATACCATGTCCTAAAATATGGCCTGTGAAGGTAGCTTGTGTGCATGAACTTGATGGTTTCTGTAGCAGCTTTAACGCATGCCGTGACGTGCCGTGAAACCGTCTTTCGGTCTGCTTCTAGGGTTTTGGAGATAATGAATTGTCGATGCAGTAGAATTCTTGCATTTAGAAATCCTGTACTTCTCGTTAGCAAGAGATCCTTGCAGTTTACTGCTTCGGTGTCTTTTTACGTAGTTTGAGAACAGTCTTTTGCTTCATGGCAAACTCGCTGTCTTCCAATGACGACAAATCAAAGCGCAACTGCCGTGGGAGGCCGGATTTCCAGTCATCTAGTTCCCGATCCAAGTTCAAAGCTGTCTGGGAAAGCCGCTGAAGTGACGTGTGGTTGCTGTGTAAACTCAGGTTGTCCGTCATCCACATCAGGATCTTGGCCAAATCAACCATGGGGTTGATGAGACAGTAGGCTGAGTTAGGGAAATGCTGGTTCTGTTGTCAGCAGTGTGAAAGCACCCATCGTTGAGGTTTTGACTAACTGAAGTTTTCGGAAATGGAATCGAATAGGAGCTTGGTGCCCGCAACCCTGATTGGCGACCTGCCGAGAAGCACATTTCACTGGACTGTCAGCACTAATTCCTCAAGGCTGCATCAGTTACCTACATTTCGTGTGAGTATAATGACCTTGAATGGTTAGCGGGCAAAACGCTACAGACGGGCGTAGCATGCTCACCACCATAGTAAGCTTTCCGGGCTTGTCTCGGAGCGAACATTTGTTGGAATTCCCATGGCAGATGCTGTTCTGATAGCCATGCCACTATACATGTAACAGCTGTGTGGTTTCAAGGCGTTTTGACCGAAGACAGACTATTGCGTCTCGTATTAGTCAAAAGACAGATTCAAGCCTTAGAAGGTACCCCACTGAGGATATTCAGATGCATCCAACTTACCATGAGGAACAACGTCTGAGCAGTTTCGAGCGAACTAGATTCGCAAATATCTTCCAAATGAAGTCTTGATCTTTCGAAGAATCTTCTTGCCAGACGAATCGGGGGATACAATGAATCATCCTCACCTGATTGCCCTGTCCGATCCAGAAACTCCCGGGTATGATCTTCCATGAGCAGTGATGTCTCCCCAGCCGTGATGGCCCCGATAGCAATGACCACATTATACAAAGCGAGGAATCTGGCTTCTCGACGCATTTGAGAACATATCAGAATTTCTGGTCTTGACGCCCTCGACCAGATCTCCTCCTCACACCGTTTGAGAAACCCCATCTGTTCCAGGATAGGGTGTATGTTGTGAAGATTCTGAAAGTAGAGGCGGGCACACTCGCGCTCGATATCTGTTGCTAAAGATGCGTCTGCCGCACTTAGGATCACGTCCGGACTGATGCCCTGTTGACACGAGTCTCGCCTCGCTATAGTGCTCTGCGGGCTTCCCTTTCCATACGGGTTTTGGCCAAGAACCCGCGAGTCCGGGGGTGTAGAGTAATCTGAGCTATGCAAAAGATTTACGATGGAACTCTGCTTCCCATGAGTGCCGACTTGAGGCTTCTTCTGCGTATTGGCCCGGGAACGTAGTCGTGCCAAAAAGTAGAAAGTTCCCGTCGGGCCATAGAATTCGGCTCCTTCGGTGTGTTCATTGACCTGGCCGAGACCATCCACTTCATGCTCTGATGAAAAAGATGAGTGTCTTTCACGTCCATACTCGTGCGAGTTCGACTGAGTTGCTTGTTCATGCTTGATGGGTTCATCTAGGCTGACTGGCGACGGATGCAGGTATTCAGGCAGTATCGCTTGTGACTGAAGCATAGACTGAGATTGGGACATAGACTGCGTCTGAGGCATTGGCTGAGGCTGTAAACGCTTTTGCGCCCTTCCGGGAGAGTCAATGGAGGGAGTCCTCTTTGACCTAAGGAGACAGTCAGACACATCGATAGATGGAGAGAGAACATCTACCCACGTACATCTCGTCCAGCCCTTCTTTATACGAGCATGAGAACTCGTGTCCTGAATTAACGGTCAGGAAAGTCAGTGATGTCGAGCCCGTAGATTCTCCGTCACTCACGGACACAGTTCGAGCAAGGTGAACTGCCGTCACACTGGAGATCATATCGTCAACATTTGTTTTTCTCTATCGGCTTCGTCATCAATAGAGCGACACCAACCTTTACTTTACGAGCCCGACATGTTCCACAAGCAATTGGCGCCCGAGGTCTCCGCTTTCTCTTGAGGCCTGTAGATTTCGGGTTATCCGAAGAGCCAACGCTCGGTGGGGGATTTTCCGTCTCCATATTTGGAAGGTAAAGCGTAAAGAAAATCACTTAGGACTGTTGCTTAAGAGAAAGGCTACAAAATGAAGACGCGAATTATGGGCGGGGATTCGGAAATATGAGCTTTGTTGCTCACCATTGGCAGGTCATCCGAACTTAGCCACAGACTGCCAATTTCGAGGGCGATGTGAGACAAGGAATCTCAAGTAGAGTTTCTGGCATGGAGCACATAGCGTCATAAGCACACTTAATGTCGTTGCAGCTTTGACAATGCAGTAGAAACAAAACCGACGAATCGGATCAAGGCTTTCCGGCTCGGCAAATGAGAAACCGTGTGTCGGAAACCATCCCAGCTCTGCATCGTGACTTCTAATCAAATGCTGCCGACCGTCTCCTGCAATAAAAACGGTTATATCTCGTCTCTTAGCCGAGTCTTTGAAGTGTTGGGAGGAAGCCGTTGACTGTTCATATACACTTTGACCAAACAATTTGGATGATGCTCGAAATCGCCTCGCCGCTTCGCTCTGATGGCACACACCTGCCTAACTTGTTAACAAGCGATTTAGGACCAAGAAAATTTCAGATGGAAGATGTTTCACACGAAGTACCGGTTCTGATTGCTGGTGGCGGTCCGACAGGTCTGTTCACCGCATACATGCTATCCAGACACGGTGGTAGGTCAGCCAGTGCAATTCAGACGGCTCTAACTTTGATGGCAAAGGTCGCTAACAACATTTCAGTAAAGTCGCTGCTCATCGAGAAGTACTTGGAGAGGCTCGCTGCACCCAAAGCGCATGCGCTTTGTCCTAGAACTCTTGAAATATGCAGGCAGTATGGGCTTGATACGGACAAGATTCGCCGTCTTGGATCACCACGGAGAGACGCCTGCTGGGTCAATTTCCTGACAAATCTGAGCGGTGAGAAAATTGGATCACTTCCGTACGAGCGTATGGATGCTGAAGTGTTGGAGAGCACACCTGAAGCACGTAAACCCATCCGTGGCGTTTTCTATTCCACTGGGCACGAAACAAACCGCTGACAGGGTATGTCTGCTCGCAGATGATACATAACATTCCTCAACCTGATTTTGAGAAGTTCATTTCCAATCAGCTACTTGGTGACCCAAATGTCGAAATTTGCAAAGGTGTTGGTTTTGTGTCTTGCGAACAGGTGAGTGTGGGCGTAAAAACACTTTGAGAAGAAATAATGTGAGTAAAGACTTACAGAGGTGTAGAGAGGCGACATAGTATTTACTGTGACTGAAGAGCTCGCTACCAAGAAGCGTTTTATTGTCACATCAAAACATGTCATTGGTTGTGATGGAGCGAAGAGCCAAGTCCGCCATTCGCTTGGAATTGGAACTGAGGGAGAGGATGGATGTGAGTAGTCAATCGTAATAACAACCCGTCTTCAGATTTCCAGGGCGCTGACAACTTCCAGACGAGACAATGATGACAATACACTTCAACGCAGACCTCCGACCAGTGGTAAAAGATCGCGTCGGCATGCTACACTGGATAGTCGACCCCGCCTGTTCCGGGTTTATCATAGCATATGATCTCAGTGGAAACCAAGTTCTTATTAGCAATTTTGATGTGAGATTTCTTGCAAGTTTTATAAAGACTAGAACTCATGGTACTTTCTAGCCGAAAAAACAACCGATAGAGACATGGAACGAAAAGCGTGTCCACGCCACTGTGTCTGCCGCAATAGGGGAAGATATACCACTAAAGATTTTGAGCCATCGACCATGGGTTTTGAGTCGAAAAGTCGCAAAACAGTACCGCCGGGGAAACGTCTTTCTGTAGTATACTCCACCTGTACTCTTAGATTTACGGTGGACTAACACAAGACAGAGTCGGCGACGCAGCACATTCTTTCCCTCCAACTGGTGGCCTCGGGCTTAACTCTGGGCTAGCAGACGCGCACAACCTTGTTTACAAGATCGCCGCTGTGCACCAGGGATGTGCTGGCCCCAGACTTCTCGATACATATGAGCCTGAAAGGAAACAGGTTGCCGCTGTTGCTGCTGCACAAAGTGTTAAGAATGGGAAGTCGATTTTCTCATTTCTTAAAGCTGTTGGTGCAGCTGAGAGCGAGGATCTGGTTGAGGCACGGAAGCGAATGTACCAAACAATACATGACCCAGCCAAGCAAGCATTGATATCAGACAATGTTGAGGGGCAGCGAGAGCATTTCGATAATGTTCGTAACCCTATGGGCCAGGTGCTCCAAGTGTTCACACCATGGCCACGTCAATGTTGGATTCGATTGCTGACTTGATTGTGAACAGCTTGGATTACACATCGGTTATGTTTATGGCGACGAGAAGCCACCTACTAATGCTTCGAGTTTTATACCAAAGTTCAAAGCTGGAGCTCGGCTCCCCCACGCTTGGATCAAGCTCCTAGGCCGGTATAATGGACTTCCGCAACAGCCAATTGATACATCGTACGTCGAAGAATTATCTGAAGCGCAGGTTGCAGCTCAAAAGTTTTCTACCCTAGATCTTGTGGTGCCGGGGACCTTCAATCTCATCACCGGACATCGCTCAGCTTGGAGTCAAAGGTTAATCGACACTGCGGTCGCGTTGGGTGAAGCCATCACTGTACGGCTATGGGGTGCTGATGAAGATTTTGCTTTTTGCACCAAGGGCCACCGTAGACTTTATGATCACGAGGGCGGTCTTTCTCAAGGGGGCGCCATTATTGTGAGACCTGACCAGCATATACTTGAGTGCTTGGGCCCTGAAACTTCTGCATCGGAAATCATAGATCATATCAAGAGACATCTAGATACAACATAATGTAGCAGACTCGGTATAGCGAAATCGAGTACTCAAGGCACACATACCATGTAAGTCACATCCTCAGCCAGATTTAAGAAATCAAATCATTGATCAACTCATGGATCCAACTCGGCTTGTTCACAGTTGATTTCACATATGTGTTCGCATTTAACAGTTCTGTTCTTGAGTTTCCCGCCAAGGTGTCACCGGACAAACCCGTGGTTCCAGATGACGATACAACACTGCAGGATCATTACTCCTTCCTAAGCTGAATGCTGAAAAACAGCTCTGATGTCACTAGCAAAGGCTTAGTCTCGGGGGACAGCCCACTCCGCATCAACGCCCCTGAACTCAAAATGTTAATTCCATTCTGGATCGTCCACGAGCTGCTGTAGTGGCTCTTTCTCAAAAGTTACCTGTAATCCAATTCCCTCATCGCTTCCAGCTGGCCCGTTATGCGTCGGGTAAACGATGGTCATTCCCTCGGTCACAGTATCGAACAGGTGCCGGAAGGTGGTGGGCTTGGCGAAGCCGAAATCCGCCGTGCATACATCGGCATCACGCCAGTCGGTCAAAACCAAGGATATGGGCGGGAAGGAGTTGACACGGATGGACAGGTCTCCCTTGTTGCGGATGGGCGCGAGCATCTGCCGCGCGCTGGCCAGCATCTCTCCTGTGACTCCATTCGTCATTTGGCGCGAGTAGCTTGCCAGATTGGACAAGGGCGCCTCAGATATGATTTCAGCCACGGTTAACTGCGGAACGGGGGACATGGCGGAAAGCGGAAATGGTAGCGAAGCAGAGGTTTCCTTGCATGCGTGGCGGCGACTTTTCTGACGCTCACTTGCCCCCTGTGGAACACAGGGCGTTGGTAAAAAGTAAGCAAAGTTGAATACAACGCTATATGGCACAGGAAAAACTGGTCGTAAGCATGTCTGATCATGATGGTCCAACCTAAGGTCACCGATACATAGGTAGTATCACTGACATGGCAGTGGCAGGAACCCGTCCGTGCTGTAATACAATATGATTCTAGACCCAGAGAAATCTCGACCTACACTACGTCTGATGATCGTGTATTTCTCCTTGCTGCTGGATCTTTCTGAGTTCTGCGTAACCGTGACATGGATGATCCAAACGATCTCCTTGTCCAGCCTGCCGCCAAGGTCTTGGGCGCCGCGGAGGTGCTCTGTCGACTTGGATTGGAAGGTCTTCAACTCGGTGACAGCCGTGACGCTCATGTCTTGCCCCTTCTGTATCTTGCGCCAGAGGCCGCTATCTGATAGGATTTTGGGCACGCAAGGGAATCAATTGATAATAAAACCGCAAAAAATCTCTGCATAGGCCTAGAAACAAATGGGGCCGACGGAGTAGGTGAAACCTGCCGCTTCGACGTATTGGATGGTCACGACAAGACGGAAGGCAGCGAAGACGCAGGCGCTATGTTTTTGGTCAGCTGTGCAGATGCTACCGTGATCCAAGGGGACTATGATTCCATTGCCCAAGCCACGTGCTTGGTACTCGCCTTTTTCCATTAGAAACTCCTATCGAGGCGTTCAATTCATAAAGCACCCCTGCTAATACCATTTTGTCATGATATACTCGCGGTTCAAGTCGATTCTGCCTGATAGACCGCCTTCGCTTTCCAAGTGATCTCGTCTAGCTTTATCAGCGACCCCTGACTTTATGAGCGGCCTCGCGGTGAAATACACTCAGACAATACAAGCCACTTTCAACCTTGTAACCCTCCTGCGTACGGCAGGCTCTCAGAGATACATTTTAGGTCCGTATGTTCGGATCCTGTGATCCGGACATGTTGATCCGGTGGTTCTGACGCCAGGCAGTGGCTGTACGGCGTAGTTCTCCCTGACGACGCAAAGAGCATTGTATCAGTACTTCAAAAGTCAAACAATAAAGGCTTTGGCTGCGATTAACGTTCCATAGCTCGCTCTCCCATAGGTCGAAGCTAACAAGCAACGCTTTGAGCGATGGAGTCACGCTTGTCGGCATAAAAAAAAGGAGTTATCCAACACGCTTTCGGTCTTTCTGCTATGTGAATCATTATCGTTCCTTTTAAAATTTCTGTTTGTCACACACACGTAATAAAATGGTATACAATGCAACTCATTCTAACTGAAAAATTGTCCATCATCACATCCAAGGCTCACCCCAGCAAACCGATAAAACCGAACCGTACGACTTCAACTTCTATATCCATTATCCAGCTGATGACTTCAATAAACCGGTTCCAGATTGAAATGTTATTTCAAAGAAAGGTCCAAATGAGTGAGGCGAAAGGTACATGCATCAGCACCCTGGCCAGAATGGACACAAAAAGCTCAACTGAATTCCTAGGCGCATGTAGGGATGGGATTGTCAGTCCAAAACCATTGAAATAGAATGGGGTGATCAGGGCCCACGCTAAGTCACCTGGGTTTTCTTTTAGCCTCTTGCACTTTGCGATTAGATAGGCAACTCTGATCGAGCCATAGACTAGTTCAAGCGTGGCGCGCGACCTTCAGCGGATCAATCAACACCCGCGCGCGTGTCTTTCTTTAAACTACTACAGAGCCTTCCATGACGATTTGCAGTCTGATCATGGCAACGCAGGACTTCTTGGGAGCCGTAACCTCACATCTTTGCCTGCTAGTGCCCTGGTCAGACGTCCTTGGTCAGTCTTTGAGCAAGAAATCCTGTGTTACTTTAGATATTGTTATGTTTGCGTGCAGTGTATACTATTGCACAACATCGCACTACCATCGTCCTGATCACCCTACACGGTTTCGCTATACTTCTATTCCAAATTTTATTATGTCACAAGAACGCTACTCCTGAACACTTGCCTCTTTTCGGGCCGCCGCTCATGCTCCCGGATCCGGGAAGCCAAAGTTACTAGTAACCGATGTCCCGTTTTTGAGTCAGTGGCTGAGACAAGCCGGAGGCAGTATGATTTCTGGCAACCGCCCCATTCTATCCTCAATACTGATATCATAGAAATCGTTGTCTGCTGTTAACTCTGTTTCCAGACTTAGATGGGCAGAAACAGGAGGGCCGAGGAGATAGTTGCAACCAAAGACGGGGCCGGATGGAAGACCAAAAGTAACACTGCAACTAGAATTATATAAATTCTGTCCTGCCCAATCTGCTTTACGTCGAACCGATGTTCTTTCCCCACGTCACCGTCATCTTGCATTTCTTGAGCTTTGATTGCAGGGGCAATTGACGATGGAGTTGAAACGCTTTCTCCGATGGGCAGCTCTCTCAGATAAGTCATACATGGTTTTGCCCGACAATGAGGATGGCAGCAGTGGTTTTACGGGCGAGCACTCAGAGAAGAGTGGTACCCGTATCAACGGCCGAATCCGAAGCGCTCTCTGGTCTCTTTTGCCTTCGTTTGTCTCGAGACCAATTCGCCGCAGATACGACTGTAGCTACAACGAAGACTACGATGGCACAGACGGCGCCATCCCCCATCCGAACTCGACATCTTACCTCAATGGCCTCCGTGGCATCGCATCCCTCATAGTCGCCACACAACACAACATCCAAGAATACTTTACTTTGATACACAGAGGATGGGGCGACCAGCCCAGTGACAAACACATCATCCAACTCCCTTTTGTCCGCCTCATAATTCACGGAAGCTTCTCGGTCGCCCTATTCTTCGTCATCAGCGGCTTCGCGCTGTCGTACGGACCCTTGAAGAAGATCCATCGTCGAACGAGAACCGAGGCAGTTGACGCACTTTCGTCGAGCATTTTACGCCGGCCCTTCAGGCTCTTCCTGCCCATCGTGCCCGTGCTGCTCTTCTCCAACATCGTTTTGATAAGATGGTTCGGCGCCTTCTACCAGCTCGGCTCGATGAACATACTACCGCCGCAGGCATCTTTCTGGGCCGAGCTACAGCACATTTGGGCTGAGTTTCGCCAGACCGTCGTGTCGCGCAATTCGCCAGCCACCATGCCTCAGATCTGGACCCTCAGTGTCGAATACCAGGGCTCTCTTCTCGTCTTCCTCTGCTGCCAAGCCTTGGCGCCCGTAGCAACGGTGCAGAGGTTCCTTATTATGGCTGCCCTCTTTTGGTGGCAATGGAGTCTCGGCCATTGGGCGCTCGGGCTCTTCCTGGCGGGCATGATAATCGCGGACCTACGAGAACTAAGGCCGAAGCTCCCTACCCTAGGCAAGCGCACCAAGTATGTCGCAGGCGCTGCGAACTGGTTCATGCTATTTATGTCTCTTTTCCTTGGCGGATGGCCACTCCAGGGCAATGGTGGGGTCACGCTGGGTTTCAGTTACTTCAACTGGGTGCCTACAGGAAATATACCGCAGCAGTGGTTCTGGTATAGTGTCTCGGCCATCATGTTAGTCGTGTCTCTAGAGAACATGCCAGGAGGGAAGCTCCAGTCGTGGCTGAATGCCCAATGGGTACTCTACCTAGGCGAGATCAGTTACGGACTCTATCTCGTTCACTGGATGGTATGGATGAATCGGTTAACCAAGGGGAATATTGTCTCGCTGATGACTGCGCCGGGATGGATGAGCTTTTGGGCGAGCTGGTCAAACTTTGTTGCCTGGCTGGTTGGATTCATGATGGCTTTACCGTTCTGCATCTGGATCGCGGACCTGCACTGGAGATTCGTAGACAAGTCGTCCGTAAGAATGGCCAAGTGGTTAAGCGATGCATTAGCATCAAAGGGTAGGGAGATTACCAGTGCCGCCAGGATTTAAGTCAAGAGGAATGTCAAATTATTGAGTATTCCAAGAGAGGTCACTGCGCCAAGAAACGTCAGTAACGAGACGTCTTAGGCTTTTTGAATGTTCTTCATAATGACTTCGTTTCTTACTTTGTATAGATTTAGGAGTTGTCAATTCGTTCTATCGAAGTCTAAGCTTCTGTTACAATCATATTAGCATAGCAATATCCCAGGAAAGGCTGTATATTAGGTGGTACCACATTGGGCCGATAATGGTCACACCAATGCAATGAACTATTTGACCAAATGATCCAGAAACGCCTAAAGACATGGGAGAGCTGCTGTGATACAATGTAAACGGGTTAGATATGCATCTCCCAATCCCTTTGCTCTCCTGAAGGTATGCTTTTATCGTGCCTTCTCCTGTCGACTGTTCCCAAGACACGCATCTTCCGCGCACCTGCCCAACCGACTCATGTGGCTTTTTTCCTCTACAATAATCCAACTGCTGCACTTTAGTTGCTTGTTCATCGCTTGTTCACTTATCTTAGGGATTATTGTTGGACGCGGATTCTTATTTTCGTTGACTTTCCTCGACCTTGAGGACCTTGCCCGTTTGGTGACGGCCGCATGGCATTCCCCTCGGGATATTTTGTCTCTCTAACGCCATCGTATCTATCTGTAATCCCTCCACAGTTTTGTCGACGGAATTCGAAGTCGGTCCCATGGGCCTGGACTACCGTGTAAGCTGAAGGCCCAAGGCGAGACCGCGGTGGCGTCATATAATGAGATACCATGTCTCAACGCTGAGTGAGATAGGTGGCCATTATTGGATGTGATCCCTCTTTTAGTGTGCCTGCTCCCATATTTCTATCCGCTTTCACTACACTTCTCCCCTGAGGAATGTCAGGCACCTCCGCCGAAAATCTTCTATTTCACGCTCACAATTCTTCAGATTTACTATTTGTTTACTCTAACTTTAATTAACCAACATGACATACTAACTCCCATCTAGGCCACTCACGGGGCCAAGTGCACGTAGTAAGATTCAGACCTCACTTAGGACTATGTGACTCCCAATTTAGAGACGAGGGCTTCCATGGCAGTATCTGATAGTACCACTCGTCATCCTCGTTCGCGTTTCACTTCGGAAAACAGTTACCTCCGAGCTCTGCTGCTGGCAAGGCCTTCAAAGCTATTACTTTCACTGAGATGAGTCCAATGTCGACGACCTGCTGCTCGATGACAGGTCTCGACCTTGTAATTCCACCACAGCCTGATCAACATCAATATAGGCGTCATTGAAAAGGAGGATGACATGCCAACGTCTTCAGGCTAAACAAAAACGGGCAGCACACGGCTGCGGGGTTCAGAAGACTAGCTCCTTAAAAGACAGTGGTGGCGTTGGTCTGGCCATAGGTAGTTAATCTGGCCCTAGCGGTCAATCGTGACGCTAGTTTCTTCTAAGGGTGCGGGACGCTTAGGCGCTGGTACGATGCCGTTTTCAGTGATAACCTATCATCCGAAAAATCATCAATACGCTGTTCTGAAGAAGAGGATTATCTTTTCCTGTTTTGAAATGAGGCATTACGGTTAGATGTTGGACAATGACGTTTCTGCTAACAGATGTCTTCGAGGATCTTGTTCGTCAGAGAGTACGACGATCTATCGCATAATTACAGTGTTTTTACAGGCATTTGACGTCATTAGGGCAAGGACTATAGACCAGAAGACTACTTTTGATATTACATACATCTAAGTTTAACTTCCTCTAGGCTAGGCCTAAGAGAAAGCAGATATGTTCTTAATCTTCTTGGGCCACTTAGTACATGGGTAGCTTGACCGAGCAAGTATCTCTAACCTTACAAGATTCGCCTTTCATTTGCCCTCGGTAGAATATACCTCCCAACTTCATAGCTGATTTAGCCATATAACGATAGTTCGTATACTTGATCACTAGCAAGGTTGCACCATTCACAACAATCGGTCCTGAGAGTTCTCACGACCGAGGAGGGGTGGGGCCTGCAATCGCTAGTGGGGCCGTGTGGTTCCCAACCTAATTTGCCGGGCAGCCTAGGAGATCTTGATCGTCAACTTAGTGCCACTATGTCACTCAGGTGTGGCTAGATCACCCGACGCCTTAAGATAGTAATTAGAAGCGCGAGCAAAGTGAGCAGGCAAGGCAAGGTGAATTGCTACATGACTACAGCTTACAGACTAGGTTATGTTAGTGTCTGTTACCGCGAAGATGTTTACAGAAAGCAGTTAGACAGTATACGCTAGATTGGTGGCCTGCTGTCAGGCGCCTAGAGGGGGGGCACCGGCGCGGCACTAGTGGGGTCGTCGGCGGGGTAGCTAGGGCCGTACCAGCAAATAGTTAAGGGAGTACAAAGGGATCCTAGCTAAGCGTCTAACATAGACTTTAACAATAAAGGCTAGCTATCAAGACCAACGTTAAAGAAAGGCAATAGCACAACGCCGCTGTATTAGTGTTATAGCCAGGGGAACTGGGCTCAGCCAAGGGGGAGGGGACGTAGGAGGGCATATAAGGAGCAGCTGCAGCAGACCTAGGGGAAAGGCAGATTGAAATAACAGTCAACACCCACCCCTACCTGTGCCCATCGTCGACCTCGTTACTCTGTACGACTCCAGCCACTGACACCTGCATGGTCTGGTTCGGGCCGCCCCCCCCTCATCCATCCATCCATCCATCCATCCATCCACCTGTCCATTCGCAAGTCACACATACCCTTACCTGACCCAGCGACCGCGACAGACGCAAGGCGGCGGCTAAAATACAACCTACCCTACAGGATCAGTAAGGACAGCATTTGCTTTCTTCAAGGGGCAGGTCCTATAAGATTATAGAACCAATGAAAGCTTTTGAAAACTTTACAGTGCAGAATCTCATGTTAACGTCGTGCAATGGCCTAAAAGTGTACTCCTCCTACGATCAGATTAAGGCCGCTGTGGATGCATACCGCATTTGGTCACACAACCGCAAGATTGTGAATAATAATACTTAGGTTGAAATATGCCGGACCGAGCTAACTCTTGTTAGTGCCTTTTTAAGCAGGAGCACAACTTAAAGAAGACTTGGGTGATGGTGAAAACACAGAAGAAATCGAATATATACGTGTAGGCAGCATTAAGTTACTACTTGTAGACATAATCGCGCTGTACGTCAGCGCTGCCGCCGTAAGTGCAATCGAGGCAAATTTAACCCCCAGAATTACAACATTGGCTATTCTTTTTAGTGTTTTTGCTTACTTAGTCAAATTGCAAGTAGTTCAAATCAAACACTATAATAAACGGCGTCATCACTTCTTCCTAATCGGGTAATATATTTACATCACGATGTTAAGTAGCAGCCCGAACCCATTCTAAGAGGTCATTCAATTCTTGTTTAGCCAGGTTTTACTGAGCTGGAGACTATCTATAGTTCTCGGCATCATCAAGAGCCTCTGCAACAAGAGGGTCAACTTGACAGTACTGAATGCCCTCTCGCAGGTCGGCTGCCATTGCCTGAATAGCAAAGACGTCGATAGCAAGCCGGGAAAGCTCCAGGATGGTCTCCGCATAGTCCTTTAATTACCAGATCGGGTCAGAGGTAGTCTCCAGAGGCTGACAAAGGTAGAAATCAAGGTCATCCGTCCAGGGCGGCGTGTGACGGCGCCGGCTGTTGACCGATTGCCAGAAGTAGGCGCCGTCTCCGTCCCCAGCTCCAGACACCGGAAGATATACTGGCGTTGTATTATACTTTCCAGTCGAAAAGATGCGAAAGAATGTCCTCCATACCATCGTAACCTCCCAGAGTCAACTATACCCGTCGCTGACAGCCCAGCCCTCACAACGCTTCGTCTAGCGATAAATGGGTTCAAGAATCATCGCAATCTCTGCAAGAGTCCTCCAGTAGTTAGCAGAGAGGAGGTCTGACTCTGGGATATACTTGTTAACAGTATTGTTATTGTTAGTTGCTAATATAAAAGCTTAGATCTCCGTCTTCTTCTTTACAGCCCCTTTAATCATAAGAATCTACTTCTCCATCAAGTTCCGCTGTTTAGTATAACTTAGGCCTCCCGGTGTGATTCAAAGAAGAGCCGGAAGTCAGAGCTGTTGTGAACCTCCACCGCCGCCTTCTAGTACCATTCTGTCCATTGCAGAAAGACCCGCACGAACTTGACGATGTTCCAGAGGCGGTCGACTCCGGCACCAGAGCTCTAGATCACCAGCATGACGGTTCATAAACTGGTAGTGATCCAACTTGGCCTCAAAAATCTCTTTGTCGGCGCCGAAAAGGAAGGCCCAGGCCGCAAGATTAAGGATATGCCCATAGCACCGCATACGCCGGGCCATACACGTCCGTCTCCGTGATCTCCAGGCAAATGGGCTGGGAGAAAGCCCAGAGGCAAGTATCGTTGTTCGTAGCGTTATCAAAGATCGTCACTCCAACTAGATCCCAAATCTGATACCAGTCAACGACGCCGACAAGGGTCTCTAAGAGACTTTCGCCACTATGACTTCCACGATGCTGTATTCAGGCCAGGAGGTAAGACTGTCTATTACCGTTGACATCAACTAAGTGACCAGTGACTGCTATAAAGGCGTATATATTCGGTGATGACTATAGATCGAATGATAGATATATCTTTGACGCTGCTGAATAGAGCCCTCCTGTCATTGTGTCCTCTCCACGTCAAAAGAAGTCTCCGAGACAGTCCCAAATCGAGATCCAGCCACACGGGATCTCGCCAGCGACCTCCATATTATGGTACTGAAAGATCTGCTGAAGGAAGCTATTCTCGAAGTGGGTGAACGGAAGATCAGCGGAGACGATTGAGGCAACGCAGAGATCTCTCATTTTTATGATCTTTTGGCCTTTGGGATGCTGACGCTGGCGAGGTGGACCCTCTCATAAGGAGAGGGCGTTGATGCTACAGTTGAGGAAGACGAGGTGGTGCCTTGAAACTCTTCATCCGACTGGGCCGAGATCTTGGAGATGTTATGGCTACTATAGTATCGCTAAAGTGTGAT